GGGCCGTGAGACTTTGACCTGAGTGCAAAAATGGAGGCTCTAGACCCTTCCAGAGCTGAGATATCGAAATTCAAAATTTCGACCCGAAAAAAAAAGACAGTGTTACCCCTTTCGTTTTTTTTCGTTTTCGGGCGAAAAATTAAGTTTCTCCAATCTTCTCAAAATTTTAGAATTCTGATAGAGGGCCACCAGACTTTGACCTGAGTGCAAAAATGGAGGCTCTAGACCCTTCCAGAGCTGAGATATGGAAATTCAAAATTTCGACCCGAAAAAAAAACGACAGTGTTACCCCTTTCGTTTTTTTTCATTTTCGGGCGAAAAATTAAGTTTCTCCAATCTTCTCAAAACTCTGGATTATGATAGAGGGCCGTGAGACTTTGACTTAGTGCAAAAATGGAGGCTCTAGACCTTCCAGAGCTGAGATATCGAAATTCAAAATTTCGACCCGAAAAAAAACGACAGTGTTACCCCTTTCGTTTTTTTCGTTTTCGGGCGAAAAATTAAGTTTCTCCAATCTTCTCAAAACTCTGGATTCTGATAGAGGGCCGTGAGACTTTGACCTGAGTGCAAAAATGGAGGCTCTAGACCCTTCCAGAGCTGAGATATCGAAATTCAAAATTTCGACCCGAAAAAAAAACGACAGTGTTACCCCTTCGTTTTTTTTCGTTTTCGGGCGAAAAATTAAGTTTCTCCAATCTTCTCAAAACTCTGGATTCTGATAGAGGGCCACGAGACTTTGACCTGAGTGCAAAAATGGAGGCTCTAGACCCTTCCAGAGCTGAGATATCGAAACTCAAAATTTCGACCCGAAAAAAAACACGACAGTGTTACCCCTTTCGTTTTTTTTCAGTTTCGGGCAAAAAATTAAGTTTCTCCAATCTTCTCAAAACTCTGGATTATGATAGAGGGCCGTGAGACTTTGACCTGAGTGCAAAAAATGGGGGCTCTAGACCCTTCCAGAGCTGAGATATCGAAATTCAAAATTTCGACCCGAAAAAAAAAACGACAGTGTTACCCCTTTCGTTTTTTTCGTTTTCAGGCGAAAATTAAGTTTCTCCAATCTTCTCAAAACTCTGGATTCTGATAGAGGGCACGAGACTTTGACCTGAGTGCAAAAATGGAGGCTCTAGACCCTTCCAGAGCTGAGATATCGAAATTCAAAATTTCGACCCGAAAAAAAAACCGACAGTGTACCCCTTTCGTTTTTTGTTTTCGGGCGAAAAATTAAGTTTCTCCAATCTTCTCAAACTCTGGATTCTAGGGCCATGAGACTTTGACCTGAGTGCAAAAATGGAGGCTCTAGACCCTTTCCAGAGCTGAGATATCGAAATTCAAAATTTCGACCCGAAAAAAAAACGACAGTGTTACCCTTTCGTTTTTTTTTTCGTTTCGGGCGAAAAATTAAGTTTCTCCAATCTTCTCAAAACTCTGGATTCTGATAGAGGGCCGTGAGACTTTGACCTGAGTGCAAAAATGGAGGCTCTAGACCCTTCCAGAGCTGAGATATCGAAACTCAAAATTTCGACCCGAAAAAAAAACGACAGTGTTACCCCTTTCGTTTTTTTTTCGTTTTTCGGCAAAAAATTAAGTTTCTCCAATCTTCTCAAAACTCTGGATTCTGATAGAGGGCCTGTGAGACTTTGACCTGAGTGCAAAAATGGAGGCTCTAGACCCTTCCAGAGCTGAGATATCGAAATTCAAAATTTCGACCCGAAAAAAAAAACGACAGTGTTACCCCTTTCGTTTTTTTCGTTTTCGGGCGAAAAATTAAGTTTCTCCAATCTTCTCAAAACTCTGGATTCTGATAGAGGGCCACGAGACTTTGACCTGAGTGCAAAAATGGAGGCTCTAGACCCTTCCAGAGCTGAGATATCGAAATTCAAAATTTCGACCCGAAAAAAAACCGACAGTGTTACCCCTTTCGTTTTTTGTTTTTCAGGCGAAAATTATGTTTCTCCAATCTTCTCAAAACTCTGGATTCTAGGGCCATGAGACTTTGACCTGAGTGCAAAAATGGAGGCTCTAGACCCTTCCAGAGCTGAGATATCAAAATTCAAAATTTCGACCCGAAAAAAAAAACGACAGTGTTACCCCTTTCGTTTTTTTTTCGTTTTCGGGCGAAAAATTAAGTTTCTCCAATCTTCTCAAAACTCTGGATTCTGATAGAGGGCCATGAGACTTTGACCTGAGTGCAAAAATGGAGGCTCTAGACCCTTCCAGAGCTGAGATATCAAAATTCAAAATTTCGACCCGAAAAAAAAAACGACAGTGTTACCCCTTTCGTTTTTTTTTCGTTTTCGGGCGAAAAATTAGGTTTCTCCAATCTTCCCAAAACTCTGGATTATGCTAGAGGGATGTGAGACTTTGACCTGAGTGCAAAAATGGAGGCTCTAGACCCTTCCAGAGCTGAGATATCAAAATTAAAAATTTTGACCCGAAAAAAAAAAATGACAGTGTTACCCCTTTCGTTTTTTTTTCGTTTTCGGGCGAAAAATTAAGTTTCTCCAATCTTCTCAAAACTATGGATTCTGATAGAGGGCCACGAGACTTTGACCTGAGTGCAAAAATGGAGGCTCTAGACCCTTCCAGAGCTGAGATATCAAAATCCAAAAATTTCGACCCTAAAAAAAAACGACAGTGTAACCCTTTCGTTTTTTTCATTTTCTGGCGAAAAATTAAGTTTCTCCAATCTTCTCAAAACTCTGGATTATGATAGAGGGCCACGAGACTTTGACCTAAGTGCAAAAATGGAGGCTCTAGACCCTTCCAGAGCTGAGATAACGAAACTCAAAATTTCGACCCGAAAAAAAAACGACAGTGTTACCCCCTTCGTTTTTTTTTTCGTTTTCGGGCAAAACATTAAGTTTCTCCAATCTTCTCAAAACTCTGGATTATGATAGAGGGCTGTGAGACTTTGACCTGTGTGCAAAAATGGAGGCTCTAGACCCTTCCAGAGCTGAGATATGGACATCCCATGTAGCATTTATGCCATTATAAATATCTCAATATCTCAGCTCTGGAAGGGTCTAGAGCCTCAATTTTTGCACTCAGGTCTAAGTCCCATGGCCCTCTATCAGAATCCAGAGTTTCAAGAAGATTGGAGTAACTTATTTTTTCTTACCAAAAAAAAAAACGACATGGGTACCACTGTCGTTTTTTGGGGGGGTCGAAATTTTGAGTTTCTCTGATCTTCTTGAAACTCTGGATTCTGACAGAGGGTCATGGGACTTAGACCTGAGTGCAAAAATGGAGGCTCTAGACCCTTCCAGAGCTGAGATATGAACATCCCATGTAGCATTTATGCCATTATAAATATCTCAATATCTTAGCTCTGGAAGGGTCTAGAGCCTCCATTTTTGCAGTGGTACCGTTTTTTGGGGTTTTTTTGGTGCGAAAAAATAAGTTTCTCCAATCTTCTTGAAACTCTGGATTCTGATAGAGGGTCATGGGACTTAGACCTGAGTGCAAAAATGGAGGCTATAGACCCTTCCTGAGCTGAGATATTGAGATCCCATGTAGCATTTATCCCATTATAAAAAAAATAGTGGGTTCGCGGACAGTGGAATTTCGGGACGGCCCTTGGTGCCACAGACTCAGGGGGCTTCCCTGAGTGCAGTAAAATAGTTTTCATCCCCAAATTTTGAAAGCTAAGCTTAAAAACGACGTGTCCACAAACCCACTATTTGTCCAATAACCCACTATTTTTATAATGGCATAAATGCTACGTGGGATCTCAATATCTCAGCTCAGGAAGGGTCTATAGCCTCCATTTTTGCACTTAGGTTTAAGTCTCATGGCCCTCTATCAGAATCCAGAATCTTGAGAAGATTGGAGAAACTTAATTTCTTGCCCTGAAAAAAACGACAGGGGTACCCCTTTTAGTTTGTTCGGGTCGAAATTTTGAGTTTCTCTGATCTCTAAATTTGTTTGTTTTGTTCAGGACTTTAGGGCGAGGGAACCGGAAGTGCTAAAATGCTAACTCACTTCCGCGTTTTGGCCTACAAAGTCACGTCATAACTTCGGCACTCAAGTCTTGTTTCGTAAATCCAGTACGCTGGTAGTGACAATTCTCTCTGACCAATCAGTGATCTGCAGTGTGTACATGTCACATTTGAGTATTGGTAGTACGGCTCATTTGGAACCTCAACCGATGTGGTACTAAAAAAAAAGGTTTTGTGGAAAACCCCGAAAGTGAGCCGTACCGAGCAGTGGAAAAGAGCCAAAGATTAACTTGAAACAAAAACAGAAAATCTATGTAACCATATAATTCCAAACATCTTGGTTCATCTAGTTTAATAATTGATACTATCTGGTGTCACTTTGAAGGGTAACAAAGTAGGAAAGGCATGACTTCACGTGTTTCACACCAGCATGTTGTTTGACAGTCAAAAGGCCCTTTCATGTGTTTCAAAGGAAATTGAATCATTTGTTCCTTTCATGTTGAGCTTTTCTCCATAAGGCTTTTGTTTCCTGCGATCGCAAGTGTTTACACACACCACCCTCGGCTCTTGATGGCATAGACAGTTTTGTCAGTCGCTCATTTACTTTGGCCCTCATAAACGAACACAGAAGCGGAGTGTTTCAACATCTCAGTTTCCATTCGGCTCACGTCTTGAATTCTGTTGCGAAATCTTAAGGATGTTAATATAGTTCAGCTTATGAAGCCAATGATAAATCCCTCCATTGCAGACCTCCCTGGATTTAATATATTTATTTGTTAATTAATATTTTGATTTCAGCAACGCTACAATATGGGTAAATTTGTTTACATTAATGTGTAGGTGTCACGATCTAACAATGAATAATACTTGACTATGTACTATGATATCAATTTGCCCAGCAATAGACCCAAAACACTTCAACATCATAATTATGACTTCCAAACTATTAAATAGAGACTTCCCAGGAATCTAAATGCAGCATTGATTCACAAAGAGTTTGTCCCTGTAATAACGTTTCTGTGAGTCACTTCGGACTAATTCCAGACTAATATAACTCACCTTCAGTTGTAGACAGCGTTTGCAGTAGAGGCCGACTGTTTGCCCCATCCTCACACTCGGCTGGGCTCAGGCCTGAGATCTGCGGCTCTCGCTCCTCGTCCTCTTCACACGAGGAACATGTCTCTGGCTGGAGATCGTTTGTGGTTGAACTGGTCTGAAAAAGCGGCCAGGCATCATCAGGTGCACCTCCCACTTCTGTCCGGCTGGCTCCCAGAGATGGGTTCACCAGTCTGTGACAGGACAAAAAACAAGACTGTGTAAAATTTCATGGAGTTCAATGGAGGGATATAGTTCGGCCTAAAATGAAAGTTAAGTCATCATTTAATCTACCTGATTTGGTAAAAAACATCTCAATTTCCAGATGAGTGGGAGTGAACTGATGCGCTAATTTGGTTTCATGAACACACACTGTGTACAGAAGACCAACGGCATTCAGATCATGTGACACTGAAGACTGGAGTAATGATGCTGAAAATTCAGCTTCGATATCACATGATTTTTTTTTTTTAATTAAAATGTACTCAAATAGAAAATACTTATTTTTATTGTTTTAAAATATTTTATAATATCACAGTTAAAATGTGATATTGGATCAAACATATACTGACCCCAAACTTTTGAATGATAGTGTATGTTGAAAACCAACTGAAGTTTGTCAGAATTGGAAAATTAATCTGTTGAATATGATCTAAATCGCTCCATTAAGGAGTAGTTCACTTTTAAAAACAACTTTTGCTGATAATTTACTCACCCCCATGTCATCCAAGATGTCCATGTCTTTCTTTCTTCAGTCGAAAAGAAATTAAGGTTTTTGATGAAAACATTCCAGGATTTTTCTCCATATAATGGACCTTCAATGGGAACCAAACGGTTCAAGGTCCAAATGAGAGTTTCAGTGCAGCTTCAAAGGGCTTTAAACGACACCAGACGATGAATAAGGGTCTTATCTAGCAAAACGACTGCTCATTTAAAAAATAAATGAAAAAGTTTAAGTTTCATAAGCACAACTGCTCGCCTTGCTCTGTTCTGTGATGCGCGTTTGTGACTCTCCTGTTCAAACTCGTTTATCAAAATGAACAAATCTTTTTTCGAGTCATGACTCGAAGGGTCCTAGATAAGACCCTTATTCATCGTCTGGTGTTGTTTAAAGCCCTTTGAAGATGCACTGAAACGGTCATTTGGACCTTGAACCGTTTGGTTCCCAATGAAGTCCATTATATGGAGAAAATCCTGGAATGTTTTCATCAAAAACCTTCATTTCTTTTCAACTGAAGAAAGAAAGACGTGGACATCTTGGATGACATGGGCAGAGCCGGCTGCAGAAACAAACCAATGGACGGGCATTTAATATTGTAGGGGGGGCCTAATTATGACATCCAATACATTTTTCTATAGGACAAAAACCAACTATTACACCGATTTCAAGTACCAGGCGTAATTTGCGGGTGGGATATGTCCCCACCGTCGATATTTTACCCACCACTTTTGAAACATTCCGGCACAAATGTACCAATACAAATAAACAAAACATCTTCAGTTAACTAGCAGAGCATTCGTTTCGTTCGTTTTTAAATAAGAGACGATCTAGCGCTGAAATGTGTTTTTAAAATCAACTGTTCAAAAATAATGCTCGTTGCCGCTGGCGCGGATAGGCTAATGTGTTTTTTTTCTGGCTTGCGCACAGTCTTCACTCGGGCGCACAGTCTTCACTCGGACGCGCAATCCGTTGTGGAGAGACTCTATTCATTACGGTGAAATTAAAACACAAAATGTTCTGAAGATGTTTTGTCTGTGCCTGATATACAACCACTGATAAACATAATCAGTTTTGATGGAAAAAAATTTTTTATTAGAACGGATTAGAACCCAGAATCTCTGGCACGCTTGGCAAAAGTTCTACCCCTGGACCATTATTTACATTCACGTTTAATACTAATATAAAGGCATAATTGAACGACCACATAAACCTAAATCAATAACTATTTAAATCGATTAAAGGATATCGTAATGTTATTGTACATATCTGTTTTATGATTTAGCATTGTGTCAGGGCTGGTGCAACTTAAGAAGAGTAATAAAAATAACTGGCCCACTCATGTTCTTAATACAGCTGAAGTCGACGTTTTTGGGAGTGGAATCTCCGCATGAGTTATTCAATACATTATTTTTATTTTTAAAATAAATTTCTTTTTAAAATTTATTAATTGCAAATTGCATGGAGAGGGGGGCACAGGCGCTCGGTAGGCGGGCCCGGCCCCCTAAGGCCCGCCCATAGCGCCGGGTATGGACATGGGGGTGAGTAAATTATCAGCAAAAGTTTTTTTTTAAAGTGAACTACTCCTTTAACGTCATGTAAATGATAAAGAACCCACCCTTCATTGAGACTGCTCTGCGAGGGAAAGGGCCGACACTCACGGCCACGGCTCTGGCTCCAGGTGTCATCGCAGCAGAGAGACGGGATCAGGTTTACAGGACCTGGAAAACAAACCACACTTCAGTCTAATATCATGATGATGACAATCAACATCTCTCCAGAACTGTGTGGGATTAATAAAATGATAATCTGACTCATTTGCTGGCTAACTCACATGTGTGAAACTCACCGCGGGACTGTCCTGATCCGGGACGGCAGTGACAACAAGGCCGCTGGGAAAACTCCAGAACTCGACGGTCCAGACAAGACAACTCTGAACCCACATAAGGACCTTCATGGGACCTCAACGAAACTGAGGCATCGGAACATGAAACAACAGCAAAAACGGATACAGTAGAAACAGATAAATTTTCATAAGTTTAAAAGATAACAACTAACTACTTTAAAATAAAAAAAGCATTCAAATCATGGCAAAATCACTGTACCACACAAACTCAGGTGGCTTTTATAAAATAGCAGCAACAGTGACATCATAAAAGACACCAACAATCAATTATTAATATAGATACCATTCAAATGTCTGAGGTCAGTAAGATTTTTAAAAGAAATTGATACTTTCATTCAGCAAGGATGTATCAAAAAGTGTTGTTCAGCTTTCAGCTTTGCGTCACAGGAATAAAGACCATTTTAAAACATATTATTAAAAAACTAAAATAAACTAAAGCTGTGTTCCAAATGACGCACTTATACACTGTGTACTTATGCACTAATATGTACTCAACAGTGTAGTCTGTGAACTCTATACTGTTATTTTGTCAGTCATCATTGGAGTCTGACGCCCCTCCTCTTCCGCTAAGTAATAAACCTGCGACAGTTGAATGCATTTAAGTGCCCAACACTCCATACTTCATTGTTTCGGTTCATTAAGTGCACTTTTTCTTTTTTTGAATGTTCCCACTACTTTATACTACAAAATAGTATAGTATGCGCATTGAGACGTAACTATATTTTTCTTTTTTTACATCAGAATTTAAATCAGACCTGTCAGCATCATTGCAATGTCAACAGATGTATCAACATGGTACAATAGCAGATAAATAAAAAAATAAAAATCCTTTCAAATTTAGAATGGCCACCACCACTTACAGTAAAATGTAGTAGAAGCACCACTGCTATCAATTAGTAAATGTGTATGGAGTGATTAGAAATACCTTCTATTATATAGCTATAATGTAATTATAAAATGATAAGCCTGATAGGTTACCTGGTTTCTTCTCCAGCAGTTGTCTCTTACAGTAGATGACACACAGGATGAAGAGGGCGAGCAGGACTGTGGCCAGCGCACTGCAGATCACCGCCGCTAGAGCCATGTCTCTGGGACTGGTCACTGGAGGCTGGAGCGGGACAAGATTCACTCGTCCCATACCTGAAAGATACACACGAGACAGGAAGTGAGGTCACTGAGCATCTCCAGTTCCATTTTTTTACTCAATTCCTCACCCTTATATTGGAGGATTTTATTTCTTCTGTGGAACACAAAAGGAGATTTTAATGGAAGCTTGTTTCCATCACGGAATAAAACAATTTAAAAGATAATCACGACTTTATCTCACAATTCTGACTTTCTTCAAAGAATTACATGATATAAACACTATTGGCACTGTCACTTATTTCGTCACTTATTTCGACGTTAAAAATTTGCATTTAGTTTAAGTTTATACATTTAGGCAACTAACTGAATAAGTTGAGGCACAAAATACTATAAAAAATTAAACTGTACTAACTCAGATAAAAATAAACATATTATATATATATATATATATATACTGTATATATATCTCATTATTTTTTTGGCCGAAACTACTAAAAATTACAAAAGCACATGACAAAATTGGCAGAAAATTTAATTAAAATGAAAACGCAAAAAATAAAATGAAACTCAAAATTAAGGATGTACCTAAAGACGTTACCTTATTCGGAAAGGTACTGCTACTGAATAACGCTTTCAATGAAGCCCTAGCCCTAGAGGGACATGGTGATGGAGAAAAAAAAATATATATATTTCAATGATTTTGCAGACTCGCGCATCTTTCTCGGGTAATGCAAACGGTCGCGAGCAAACACAAAAGCATTGAGCTTTCATCCCCTTTTTTTTTACCATGTCCCTTAAGAGGCCCCGTAGAATGTGTTATTCATGATCCATGCCTTTTCAAGTTAATACATAATACTAAAATTACATTGCCCAGTAGGCTAAAGGCCCCAATATGCTTATATAAACTGCCATAGGTCTGTGTGAATACGTAATAGGGGGGTGTGGTCTGAGGCTCCACCTTCTTTGACACGGAACTCTTTTCTGCTCAGTCTTATCAAATAATACTGTATTCATCCAAACGCCACTCCTTGACTCAGAAAGTTCGCAAACAGCAAGCTGAGCAGCAAATCTTTAACCCAGAGCGAACAAAGAACTTGGCTGTGAGTGTATCGTGTTTCATGTAGGTTTTTATACTAGTGTTATAAAATCATCATTAAGAGACTTTCATGTTCTACTACACTTTCCTTTTTAATACCATGATGTGAGCCACTCTGTTTCATCTTCCACTGAACTTGCCAAAACCAAAAGCCTGAGCTTGTTTGTGTGTCTGTGTGTCACATGTCTCCTCTCGCTGTGGCTGCGGCTGGGAATGTGCTCCAAAGAAAACGAGGTTTAAATAGCAGAAATGTCCTGGAGGTGAAGGGCACATTCCCAGCCTGCCGATAATTTTTCACCCTTTTACCCCGGGCCAGTCGGGCCTTCACTTGCCAGTCTAGCGATCCCATTATTAAGAGGCAGATCAAGGCCATGGGCAGTCACTGCTATATGTTTGAAGTGGATTGGGGAATGTGTAATCAGCCTGAGAAAACAGCTGCCACAGTCTGAAGGCACCACAGGATCTCTGATGTCACCGTCTACAGAGCCTTCCCTACCCTGAAGACAACAGCCATCTGAGGAAAAGCCTGATCAAGTGACTGATCTAGCCTGAAGAAGGGGTTTTACACTCACTGTTCTACTGACACCGACTATTAAGTCATCCAGATAATTGGGGTTATCATGTTATCTGGTGTGTGCATCAATGTATCCATCACTAAGGACTTGGGAAAATGGTTGTGTGACGAGCTTTAAAGTGAGTACGTTCACATAAATGGTTATTTCGCTCGTAGGAGTCAATCAGGTAACAGCTATAGTTAGCTACTACTCAGAAACCATTTGCAATGCACTAGCTATTTCACGTGAAGTGCGCAGGAGGCTCTGTATTCACAATATGACTATTCATTTCCTTCAAAGGGGAAACGATTTTTAACGATAACTTATAAACGTTTAAAAACAGACCTGTGATTTCAGAGGTTGTATGTGCTTTTGTTGAAACCATCAGCCCGCTTTATTTCCATTCATTTTTTTAAATTACCAATGGAATTCCTTGTGAAAAACTACATTACCCATGATGCAGCTGTGCAGATATATATATATATATATATATATATATATATATATATATATACACATAGATGCACTTTTAGTACTGTTATGCACTTTTAGCACTTTTATGTACTGTACGTTGCTGCCTTAAATTTTTAAGTACAATCAACTTGGATGTTTAAGTCATTTCAACTTAAATTACATTAAACGGATTTAAATAAAGCTGATAAGCAAAAGTTGAAAATTGCTCAACTTATTTTGATGAGTTAAAGCAATGTAAAAACATGTTGCCAAAACTTATTGAGCATATATTTTTTTACAGTGTGGCTGGCAACTTTATAAAAAACCTGACAAAACCTAAAAAACCTGACCTTTATAAAAAACGCTGACAGGGAAATAGTTGAAGTAATGTTTCGACAAAACAAAAGTTTGTTATGTCGTGATTAACCTAGCTGGATGGTTTGGTTCATGACTTATAACTCTTAAAGACTTTTTAAAAATCCCTACGGGTAAAATGAATGGGAAAAATACTTCCAGAAACCAAGGTCTCCGAAAAAGTGGGCGGGCACCAATACACGCTATTGATTTCAGTAGAGACTGATGTTTGCTTGTTGCTAAGCTAACAGCACAATAGTCAAAAACACATAGCAAACACGTTTTGCACAGACTTCAAAGACTTCCACATGAAAATGCAAAAAAACGTAGTTTGATGTAAAAGAGTTTTTGTATTGTTTTTTTGTTTAGAATACATCAAATCATATCGTTAAGTACAGACATGCCTATTGCAAATCCTAGACAACAACACACAGTAATAAAGCCTGTGAACTCCTTTATGCCGAAGTATTATTTTGCTGCAATGAAGTTAAATATGAACCAGATCTTTGTTTAACATCTTTTCATTGGACGAACACAAACGTTCATTATTTGCTCTACGGTAAATTAATCATTAAGTAAACATGGGCTTGGCCTTCACAGATACAAGTGCTCTTTGTGAGACAATGTCAACATCAGTTGAGCCCTCAAAAGAAGTTTCTTTGTTGAAGATGTGAGCCTTTGTGCACTTTGTTTGCAGATATAATCAAAACTCTAGGTGCAGAGCTCATCATTTAGTCCTATAGTGATAATGTCAAGCAATATTTAGCATTGTTGTTATGGTGTCCTGTAGCGTTCTGGGTGGCTACTAGATTTGCTAAGAGGTTATTTTCTGATTTCACCAAGTCTCTATGACCGAGTTTGAATGGTGAATGTGATTTTACCAACATGTACCGGCATGTTTCTGGATCAACACCTTTAATGATCCTGGGACAACATTCAAATCAACCAATCAGATTTGAGGGACAAGTTTACAGTTTATGTCAAGTTTAGGCTTACAACCAGGGTGAGGTGCTTCTACATCTGTGTTATTTCCCTCTGATTTTAGGGAGAAGTTATCGTTTCGAACTCCTGAAACAAACTCCTGATTTCTGGCCTGATTTGGGCCATGTTTTAGGCGTTTGCATGAAAACGGAGGAATACTTTTGGTTTTATCGTCTGCCAGGAAAAAAGTATTTGCTAAAGTAACATCAGACATCTCCTCAACAATCCACACGATTTGAGGAATTATTCAGGATGGTTAACATGCTGATAGGGTTATTGGTTCTTGAAAGCCATGATCATGCTTATTTAGGTTATGCAGGTTCAAGTCTGCATCATGTCCTCCTGATCCCGTTTCCCAAATCAACAAACTGCATGTGTGGAAAGAGAAAATAGGAGACAGATATGTGAATGGGCAGAACCAGAACTGCATGAACTTCAGAGTTTGCTCAGAGTTGTACTTCTATCTACACTGTCATGTCTCAGTGCCAGCAAATCTGACCCAGCTGTGTGTTGTTGTCCTCCTTCCCTTCACCTCCCCCCAAAACCAAAGCGTTTCCCCTCTTATCAGCGGCCCACAGCTGCAGCAAACACAGACAAAGGGCGGCCCTTGAAAAGATCTCACCTGCTGATACTATCACAGCACTGCGCTCTATGAGCCAATAGACGGCTCTCTTTGATATGTGCGGCTGTTGACTTTAGAGAAAGCCACACTGAAACACATGGCCTTGAGAGCGACACAGGTAGCAGAGAGGATTGTGTTAATCTAGATCCTGAAATTCCAAGCAGGTTGCTTATTAAACGCTCCATAAAAGAGTCAAGAGTGAACTTCATTAGTTGCCAAGCTAGGGGCTTTTAAGCTGGAAGGGTCACATTTATCTCTGTTCTAAAAGTTAAAGAGTGACCCTGCTGTCTACAACATAGCCAGCATCATAACCACAATGGAAACACATAAGCGAGAAGGAAAAAAACAAAACAAAACATTTTTCATGTGAAATGCACAGGACACTCGATTCACAAGTGATTTGAGTAGAGCTTGAGCAGCACAATAAGCAAAAATAGCACCCTAGCACACACACACACATATTGGGTAAAATTGTCAAAAACAATTATTAATAATAATTTACTCTATTGTTATTATAATTAATAACATTTAATATTGTATAATACACTTGTGTATATATTATTTCATTTATTATTATCATTCATTTATTGCTTATTATTTGTGTTATATACAATTTTAAACAATTTAACAATACTTTCAATAATACAGAATTTTATACTACTTTTGTATATTTATTATTATTAATGTTATATTATATCTTATTTATAAATGTTTTATATATATATATATATATATATATAGAGAGAGAGAGAGAGAGAGAGAGAGAGAGAGTCCAATATCATATAACTTTGTGTAATATCCATGTGTATTATTATTATTATTATTATCATTAGTTATAATATTAATAATTTGCAATGCATATTTTATTTTAACAATTTAAAAATAATTACAACTATATATATATGAAGAGTTCAGATGCAAAAGCCTCTAAATGCCATTTGAAATTTTCTTCTAAAATGACCATTTTTATCAAGCTTGTATATTTAAGTTCAGTAATTTCACTTAAATGGCAATGAAGATTACCTATTAATTGTCATTTAAGTGAAATTACTGAACTTAAATATACAAGCTTGATAAAAATGATCATTTTAGAAGAAAATTTCAAATGGCACTTAGAGGCTTTTGCATCTGAACTCTTCATATATACTATGTACAACTATGTATTAAATACTGTATAATATACTTGTGTATATCATTTTTATTATATTATATTATAGAATACTTTTTATTAATAAAATAATAACAATTTTAAAATAATTACTATTATATAGTATTGTATACTGTATAATATACTTGTGTATTTAATATTTCAATTCAATATTTTATATTATATTGAATACTTGTGTATATTTGTATTGTTGTTGTTATTATTACTACTACTCGTAGTACATTTACTATCATTTTTGACCAACACTTGAATGCAGCTCACTAGTTTTTCATTAGTGAGCTGTTATATAAAATATTTAATTATTAAATTAAATCATTATATTAAATTATAGCTGTTATATGAAATTAGTATCTGCTTTTAATCACAGGGTTGTCCTTTAGTGCTTCATCAGACTAATCAAATCCATCAGTGACCCAAAACAAGACATGAGACTCCGAGATGAAAGCCATCGCTAATTATGACCTATGGTCTGAGCCAATGTAAAGCAATCCCCTTCAGGTCAAAATACCAAACCACTCGTTGTCTTTCACACTCTCGCGGTTCAAGCTTTCTTCAATATGTTCAATATAGAAATGGTCGCTTTTCAAGCCAGGCTGCTTGAGATGCTCTAAATTCAGTAGCTTTGTGATTGAATAAGAGCAGAGGTGTTTCGCAAAAAGCAAAAATGCCAGCTTATATTACTATCACACACCCGGCTCTCATGTGACCCCTACGTAAATTGGCTACACATCAGTTCAGATGCTTAGATGGGACAGCTGTGAGGGACTTTGCCAAATATTTAGAGCTATCCCATGACAAGAAAAGACAGCAGCAGATGAAACACATTAAAGCAGCAAGAGGAACCCATAAAATGCTCTGTTTTCTTCCTTTCGCTCTCAGGATAGGCCAAGGAGACCAGCGTGTTTCTGGATTTATGGTCCTCTCTAAAGACAGACTTCCTCGTGCAGCTGCGTGTTTGCCCCGGGCCGACGTGGGGGCTATTAAAACCATCAGGCCTTTGAGTTTTCACCACCCTCTGTCAGATAATGCCAGAGGACAGGAACGCTCTGGAGTGTTTTCAGCCGTTTGCACGCACAATGGGTCAGAGCTTTGAGTTCCAGCATCAGATTCAGGTGGTCCAGAGTAAATATGGTCATCATAAACAAAGGCCATCATAAACATGGTCATCATAAGCAAACTTTTTTTTTAAAAGGAGCATTTAAAATATATATATATATATATATATATATATATATATATCTCTGCACATAAGTTGCATGTCAACTATTTGGCATTTAGACACTTTTCACAAACTTTTTTTTTATCTTATTACATTTTTAATAGTTAATAAAACAATTCTCAATAAACAAAACATATATTTATTTTCTCTATGAAGCCAAAGCTCTTTTTTTATTTTTAAATTGTATATTTTATTTTATGTACAAATTTATGAATGTTTTTAAAATAAATTCTTACAAATAATTTTCAATAACCAAGAAATATTTATTTTTTATTTTTTTGTAGAATGCCAATGCTCATTGTTTAATTTTAATTCTTTTTAAAGAACATTTTATTTTATATTTTATTTTATAATTTATGAAAGTTATTAAAACAATTCTCAATAACAAAAAAAAAATCATTTTATTTTCTCTATGAAGCCAAAGCTCTTTGTTTATTTTTTAAATGTGTATTTTATTTTATTTTATAATTTAATGCAGTTTTTAAAAGAAATTTGTAATAAACGAGAAGTCATTATATTCTGTATAAAGCCAAAGCTCCTTATTTTATATTTTTCAATCTGAATTATTTTATTTTATATTTTATTTTATAATTTATGATAGTTATTAAAACAATTCTCAATAACAATTTTAAAAGAAATTTGTAATAAACGAGAAGTCATTATATTCTGTATAAAGCCAAAGCTCCTAATTTTATATTTATAATTTAATTTAATTTTTAATTTAATTTAATTTTTAATTTAATTTATTTTTTAATTTAATTTAATGTTTAATTTAATTTAATTTAATTTAATTTAATTTAATTTAATTTAATTTAATTTAATTTAATTTAATTTAATTTTATTTAATTTTATTTAATTTTATTTAATTTTATTTTATTTTATTTTATTTTATTTTATTTGAGACAAAACCACAAGTAATTTCTTTCATACATTTCTATTATGGAAAACAGTCCTGAAAAAAAAATGTTAATAGTCTAGCCTACTCTGAAGACTATTAAATGAAGCAAAAATCACAGTGCGTAATGATTACATAATAAACCGGAGAGATGAAATTCTTCAGGGCGGAGCTGACCTGTATGCCTATAGGACAGTATCTGGCGGAGGAGTGCTAGTCCTGGCTCCTATAAACCTCCACATGCAGCAGCTGCAAACATCTCAAACCACTGGAAGTCACACTTCATTTTACAAGGTATAAGTTCTCTCCCGGTGTAACTGCCAAAGACACACGCTTCCGTACAATGGCCCTCAACAACGGCGGGTAAAATGAGCCCAATTAGAGCCACAGACTGCAGGAGAACAATGCACTGCTTTGTGAAACGCTGCGTGTTTAACATACCCATGCGTGTATTTGCGGAAGAGAGCCATGCAGTTTCCAACAGTTACACAGAGAGTTGTGTTTATTACCTACGCCTATGTTCTGACTTGTAAAAAAGGCATTTATTTGATTGTAAAATACTGCGGTATGAATCACCAAGACTGAGCGGATCGTCATTTCACAGATTATTATGAATGCAACTGTTTGATGGACCCTTTTAAAGGATTAGCCTAAAAACATCTATCATCACCCGTTCACCCGGATTATGTTTTTGATTGTTTTTGATTTCATTCTGAGTGAATTTGATTCACTGATAATCTTGCCCTTCGCATTAGCTCTAATTTGCATGTTTTCAAACTATGTGATGCTGTGGGATATATAGAGCACAAGTCGTGTGGAACATTTGTGGTGCTTTTTTGTCCTTTTATGAGGCTCAGTGGTCACTTTAATGGTGTGGAAAAGAGTGGCGGACATTCTGTAAAATATTTCTATGTTCTATGGTTTAGAGTGACATGAGAGCAGGGTTAATATAGTTAACTAAAACTATAACCATAAAAATGTTACTTGAAATAAAATAACTTTTTAAAATAACAAAAACAGTAACAGATTAAAAATAACTGAAATCAAAATATAAAATTTATAAACTTATGTCAACTTAATTAGGGCCAGAGCACTGATGGTGTGAGGACCCTCTTGGAATTGCTCCGTTTATTGTAAACTTAAACTTAATCTCATTTTAATTTAGTTTAATTTGATGTGATAAAAAATAATTGAAAATAATTGATGACATAATTTTCACTTTTTTTTAAATGAAGAAACCTTTTGAAGACATTATCATTGACATTTAAATCAAACACTGATGCTGATGGTTTTTTTTTCCCTGAGTAAATGAAGGCACTGGGAATTTCCCTCAAGGATACCTTCAAAAACGTTTGTATTTAGAATTAATTAATAAATGTGCTTACAGTGCGGTTCATATGGTGGCGGCGGGTCTCCACATGGGATGCACTCCATATCCTGAAATCCACTTAACTTCGTCTTTCTGTAAAATCTGTAAGAATAAAATGCATATTAATTTAAATGAAATAAAAAAAAATAATGCATTTTATTAATTATTTGTATTTTATTGCATTGTATTAATCATTTTAGAGTTGTAAATCAACCTGTTCCGAGTCATTTTGTTAGTTAACTTTTATTTAGCAAAGATGCATTATGTTGATTTAAAAAAAAAAATGCCAGTTAAGACATTTGTAATGTTACAAAAAGATTTCTATTTCAAATAACTGTGGTTCTTTTGAACTTTAAATTCATCAAAGAATCTAAAAAAAAAATGTATCATGATTTCCACAAAAATATGAAGCAGCACATCTGTTTTCAACACTGATGCTATAATAATCAGAAATGTTTCTTGAGCAGCCAATCAGCACATTAGAATGATGTCTGACGGATCATGTGACACTGAAGACTGGAGGAATGATGCTGAAAATTCAGCCTTGATTACAGGAAAACATTTCATTTTAAAGTATATTACAAACAGTTATATTTCAAATATTTCAAAATATTACTGTAATTTTTATTTAATAAATGCAGCCTTTTTGAGCATAAGAAACTTCTTTCAAAAACTTAAAACAAAAATCTTACTGAACCGGAATCTATATCAATATTTGCTGAGAAAAGCCACCAACTGCATATAATTCAAAGACATCGCATTCATTATTGTTGCAGATTATTAAACAAGCGGATAGACAAAATGTGGCTTTAGAAGTCAAATACGATATAAAGCAAAACAATTTACAATCGATCTAGGCTTACACAGTTCACACACTCTTGTCTGAGATATATTTTAGTTGTTGGATTATGTACACATGCATATGTCTTGCTGTTTTTTAATTGAATGTCTCTGGATAACCCCTTATTAGAAAATTGGATTAGGGGACAATAATTACTCGACAGCCCTAATTAATGAATCTACTTTGGAGGAAATCTAGCCATTACAATGTCAGAAATACTCCACCATTACAGTAACAGCCCTAAGAATACATTTTTCTAAAATGATGTGGATGAAGGTACATGTAATGTGAAGAGTTGCCTTGAGCATTCTTACTGTGCCAAAGCACTTAATTATGGGTAATCAAAAGTTATTAAAAACTTAACTGGTGAGAGCAGGGTGCATGCTGTGGGGAAACTAGTAACTCTTGCAGCGATAGCGAAGCGCAGGTCTTCATAAACCTGACATGTCTCAGCTTCTAGGGCATGTCTGGGCCTAACCAAAGGCCTTGAGTTGATATCCCTGACCTGGACTTTAAACTGAGCTTCACTTTGGGGCTGGAGGGCTAAAGTGTGTGTAACTCATTTCAGTCGGGTTTAAAAAGCTGAGCTGCATGTAAATACAGTCTGGGCTTCAGAATGACTGTAAGCTCTCAAAAATAAAAGTGGTTTAGTGACCGCCCACTTTTTGGAAGTATTTGTTGCATTTATATTTAAATAAACCATAAAACGTCTTTGCTAAAGCGTTATAAGCAGTGAACCTAACCACCGAACTACAAGGTGAATAACAGCATTACAAAATTGTATTTAAATCTGACAAAAAAACAAAAGGTACAAGACTGTACTTTAACGGCTTTAAGTAAAAAGAACGACAATCCCATAAAGCACTGCAAATAACATAATGGATTAGAAAATTATGGAGAAATATGAAACTATTCATTCAAAGATGATTATATCTTTAGGCCATGTGTCCACCTAAGCATTTTTAGCCCGCTGAAAACGCCGAGCTTTGGGCGCTTGAGAGCGTTTTGTCAGCGCAGCGTTTTTTCCGTTGATACAGAATATCCGCAGCATAGTTAATTTGTAACTGATTTCGCAGATAATTTGTTTCACACTAAAAATTTATTTTTCACCCATTTTGTTCGGTTAGCTCTGCTGGTTGGTGTCGTTGTACAGAAAGAATGTTGTGACAGTTGGTCAGTGTGGTTTAGTCCCGCCCCTCCTCCACTGTGATTGGACGGCTGGGTAAGAAGTGACAGTGATGAGCGCTGCGTTTTATCCAAAGTTGAACATTTTTCAAATCTCGGCGACCAGTAAAAAACGGCGGGCGCTCAGCGCTTCAGCGTGAAAAAAAAAAATGCTCAGCGCCTCGTTACGCTCATGGCGCTAAAAAAACGCGGCTCTCCCGTTGAAAACAATTGAAAACATACGCCAGGCGCATGGAAAAATGCTAACACACGGCCTTTAACAATTATTCAAACTTGAACAATGCACGTTTTCAATGACCACATTAAGTCATTCTTAAATTGATTTACATGTAAATCTGTTTGGTTTGTTGTGTTATTTATGTGATATTTGCTCCCGCCGACTCTCTGATTGGTGGGGTTTTCTGTACAGCATCATGGGTAATGTAGTTTTTAACAATGGATTCAGAGCAAGGTGACCATTTGAGCTAATAAAACTTAAACTTTGTTATTTATTTTTCAAACAAGCGATCGTTCTTTTTTAAAAAGTGAACTACTCCTTTAACAGCTACGCAACTACCACTTTTACGGTTCAAAAACTTGAAGAGATCGTAAAACTAATCCAAATGAATGGACGGTTAATTCCAAATTTTCTAAAGAGACTCGATCTTATACGGTGAACATTGAATTTAGGCTTTTATTCACATCTAAACATTCATCAACTCACACATCAGATATGGTAAACAGAAGCTCAAGCATGTTCGCTTGATGTGTAAGAACCAATGAGGTTCATTCTTGTGTGTTCGAAAGTCTTACGGTTAAATTTTTGGGTGAACTAACCGTTTAAGGTCCTTTATAGTAAAAAAAAAAAAAATGTTAATTAGATTTTGTTAAATGTTTTTCACACAAAGGACATGTATTTCTTGTTAATTTGGGGAACCAAAAATGATTCTTCTATGGTATCACTGCGAAAACCCCTCTGTTGAAACCTTTATTTTTAAGAGTGTATTATAGGCCGACTTGGTGTTGGAAAACGCCCATCATTATTTATTCTATATAATTGTGCTCCTATGACTGACTCACCCGGGCAGGCAGTCTCCGCAGACGGCGTTGTTCGTGGTGGAGCAGTTCCCCTTCTGGAAGCGGTTGAGTAGAGAACAGTCCAGACAGGGCTTGCATTTCTGCAGGCTGCGGTCCTCTTTGAAGCGACTGGCTCTGCAGGGCACACACTGGGCATCCTCCCCATAGCCAAAGCCACATTCCTGTGAGGATTAACGGAAGATATCTCACTGCCGAGGAAGGGAAGGGCGAAGGAGAGCCGCGCTAAAGAAAAGCGCCAATGTGGACTAACAAGAAGCCGAGATGAAATAATGATCACAGTGTGTGTGTGTGAGATCCCCCAGCTGAACAAAGGCCAAGCTTCTTTTGAGAGAGTCTATCTTACACAGGCAATAATCTCCCTGACTCTCACGGGATCAATGGACAGCCTTCTGCTCCGGGCCCCCGAAGGGCTCCGCATTTGAATCAGAAAGGCCCACGGGGACGCCCATTGTTGGTTTATTGGGAGTTTATTGCAGAGGTTTTGTCAGGCCTGTCTTCGGCTAAAGTGTGTCTGAGAAATATTGATATTGAAAGGTTTTGGTATGCGGAATGCAGAAAAAGAAAGCCCTTTAAAATCAAAGATTTACAAAGCACAAAGATTTTTAATAATACAAACACGTGTTCAATTAAGTGTTTCTATATAAAATGAAATAAAAATATATGATTTGATCATTTTTATATATTATAAATAGATTTGTTTCAAATTTTAAAAAGCTGAATGAAATGTCTGTCTAGCACTAGATTTATTTAATTTGATAATTTATATCAACTTAAAAACAACAAATATATAAATATATATACAATTCAAAAGTTTGGGGCCATGCTTTATGTTCTTTAAGCACATTATAATTACATATTATTTTCTTTTGATTTTGGAGTGAAATATAACCCAGACATATAAACCAGACAGGTTTGATGAGATTCACCCAGAAATGCGATCCATTTTACGCAAATCCAAATCGGCGAATGAAACTTGAGGAGAGGTCTCAATGTCAAGTTGTGTGGTCGTGGAGAGTTCTCAGCGCTCTTGAATTATACGAGACAACACCCTTTGTATTGTTCCCTAAATACAGGCCTATTTTATTTCAATAAAAGATCTAAAACTGTGCAGTTTGTGTAACAATATAAGGCAGAAAACTTAGAAAACTTAACAAAGAGACCACAGAGAAAGTGTCTACATGAACAAAATGAGCAAGCTTGCCATTTTAGCTGAATGAATGACCAATATAACAATGGGGCAAAATACAGTTGCCTTTAGCTTACCAACTAGTAACTAAACACCAGAATTTTGCACACAAAAGAGAGAAAATTTTAGTTGGGGAGATGTTCTAATGGCTTGGGAACGGTGACGAACAACATTTGTTGGCCATGTTTCTGTACAACATGTTGGACTTTGACATTTTCCCACATTGAGTTTGACATTAAGAAGTGAAATGTAAGCAAATTTTTTTTCAAGCTCCGGGATCTAAACTGAAATCTTAAGGGCTGCTTAATTAGCATTACTCAGAAGAGAATTTCCCCCCTCCAGGTCCACCCGCTTCAACAAACAATGCCAGAGTCTTTTCAAAACTCTACTGACAGTAATCAATCTGGAAAACGCTTGTTTGTTTTTAATCCTTTCCACATTGATTTAATTCTTGGGAATCTTGCAGGGATTTATTCAGCTTTTACAGAGCCAGATTTCTCAAACCATAATTGAAGCAGAGCTGCATGGAATTCAAATTATGCCTTATTCAGCCATCCAACCCAACAGAAATCATCAATCAAGTCATTTATCAATGGAACCAACCAGATATGACACTAATTTAAAACACACAGTTTTCCTTTGCGCTTTAAGTAGTTCTGACTAAAAATGGTGTACTTTTTTGAGGTGGTGGTGATGGCACAGTGGATAAGACATTTGCCTTTGGTGTGAGAAACCCAGGTTCGAATCCACTGTGAGATACCAATGAGTCCCCGAGCAAGACCCAGCAAGCACTAAAAAGTCATTTTCTGCCTTTTATCGGCCAAGAAGGACCCAAATTTGAAATTTATAATACTATTCTACTACATATATGACCCACTTTTAATACATATTCATGTCTCCACCGGTGGAATTACCCTTTAAAGGGTTAGTTCACCCAATAATGAAATTGATCCTATGATTTACTGAGCCTCAAGCCATACTAGCTGTATATGACTGACTTCTTTCAGCCAAACACAATCAGATTGGATTTATATAAATATATAAATAATATGTAGGCTCTTCCAAGCTTTAGAATCAGAGTGAGTGGTACCATAGATTTTAAAGCTCAAAAAAATCTGATCCATCTAACATCCATCTGCAATAAAGGTATAAAGTTATCAATGTGGATATTTTTCTTACAAAAAAAAAACGCATTGCTTTGGTTTGCTTCAGAATCGTGTTTGGTTGAAAGAAAGTCATATACCCCTAGGATGACTTGAGGGAGAGTAAATAATGGGATAATTTCCATTTTTGGGTGAACTAACCTATTAAGACTTTATAAATCAGCACAACTACTTTACAACAAACACACCACCTCTGACAATCACGTCCCTAGTCGCATTCCAGCAGAGGGGCATAATGCAGAGAAAAGTGAGAGGACCTTTGTGGATTGATATCACCCTGCACTATTGTTTTTTTTTTCCCAGATGCCCCTTCCCTAGTCAGGTCGTTGTTATTCCACCACACTGAGCTGGATTAGAGAAGAGGCTCATATATCATTAACGTGGAGATCGGCTTCAAACAGGGGCCTTCTTTCTACACCGCGATCCAGTTTCCCAGCTCCAGCACACATGGATTACTGGTCTGCGTGAGAGAGCCAATGACAAGAGCTCTCCACAAAGCCTGGCCCCGGTTTCAGCCAATGTTAGAGAAGACTGATTTGGCTCTCTCAACACAGGCCCTCCAAAGTCTGCATATAGGGTGCCTGAACAGAATGACAGCTGTTGTTGCTTGTTGCCTGCCTGCAGCCCATATAAGACCTTTCTCTCCAGCAGGGCATGAACGATTGGGGGGTGGGGGTGAATAAAAGAGGTATGGTCACTCCGTTTGCCATTCCTGGAGAAATAATCAACAGTAGAGCAAAGGGGGGACGGGAAATCTAAGGAGCTCTGGAACCCCCTGTGGTTTTTCTGTTGGAGTTTGCTGCTGGAGTCCTCCAGCATTTAGAAGCTCAAACTGAAAGATGAACATCATATAAAAGCCAATGAGGTACAACTGTGGCTAAGTAGATATCATTTTGAGCTGTACTCCTCACATAGGCAATATTTACATTGATGCTTTTATCCAAAGCGACTTACATTGTATTTCAAGGTACACATTAACATTCTTATCAGTTCCTGCTTTCCCTGGGAAACAAACCCATGACCTTGGTGATGCAAGCGCAAACACTCTACTGTCTGAGCTACAGGAAAGCCTAGATGAGTTCGAATCTTGGGATTCAGACTTCCAGATATGGTTCAGACTATGTCTGCATGTCAGAGCCCTGGCTTAGTAGTCATCACTATATGCTGTAGTGCGCATATGGGCAACATGAGTTTGAATCTTACTAGCAACATTTCTGAATCTTAGCTGGACACCAGATGAATAAGGATTCAGGCTCAAAGATATGGCTCAGAATGTGTCTATGTGTCAGAGCTGAGGCTTAGTAGCTATTACTATGGGCTGGGGTGCTCATATGGGCAACAGGAGTTTAAATCATGCTAGCGACATTTCCTAATCCTAGCTGAATGCAATATGCATACAAATGAGGATTCAGGCTTCCGGATAAAGCTCAGTTACTGTAAAAAAAATTATCCTGTAAAAAAAACGGTAAACTACTGGCAGCTGTGATTGCCAGCATACTGTAAAAATACGGTGTGTTACTGTTTTTTAAACTAACAGCTAAATACTGTATTGTCAGCTACAGTATAAAACTGTAATTTAACAGCTATATGCTCAAACACAAAAACAGTAACAGACCGTATTCACCTTTTTCACGGGACGCGAAACTACCCGTCCTGCTTTGCGCGTGCGCGTTGGCAGGATGCTCGAAACTTCCGGTTCGCATGTTGACGCGTTTAGTTTAGGCGTTATTGGACAGCTCTGAACCGAAGGTTGTAATCTGTTTTATATATATATGCAATATCCATAATGGCAACAAGCAATGGTAACATTAGTTCGCGATGGCAGCACGGGCAAGACTATTTAACGAAGACCGTAAACAACATAACTTTGTCTGTCCCTCATCCTACGAAGCTAACAAGCGCCACCTCCTGGATTGATGATATGAGTCAATGGCCAGCAGTCACATATGTTGACATAATAAATTATCTTGTTTTGTCTGAGGGTGTCGACGGCGAGGAGCTTAGAAATTATAAAAGCACGAAGGCATACAATTACTTACACAGTAATAAAATTGGTCGAATTCTGTCCCATAATCATCAGCAGTTCACTTTCTTAAAGTCCCCGTGAACCGGAAGTTGCAAACGATTTTTCTCCAGTGCTGTGACGTATTTCCAAGTGAAACGGAATATTGAACAGAGGGCAGGGTTTTACTCTAGCGCTCCTCCTCTCCATCTCTCGCTCATAGCAAACTAACGGTTTGAGGGGAGTGGTTAAGCGTTTCCCCACCCAAACTGTGAAACCTACGTCATCAGAAAAAGAAACCGTTCCAGACCGGAAGTAACTTTTCAGATTTTGATTAAAGATTACTAAGGTAAAACATTTTTTTAATATATATTCACTTGCACGGATTAATTGTTCACCACAAGACTAGTAATATGCGCTAACAAAGTAAATAGGTTCAATTTTGATTTCACGGGGACTTTAAAAGCGGAGGTAGAGCCCAGTCAGACAATAAATAAACCCAATCACATCGCGTGGGTTATGGTACAAACAGCTGGATGCTCCTGTGTAGCTGGCCCTGGTGGGTCTTGTAGCCATGCTGCTGCTGTGTTGTGGAAGGTGGGTATTTATAAATACCGTACACTGCTAGCCTGGCTTAACAAACAGCAACTAAGTTACATTTAAATAGTCTGTGCAGCATGGTTCAACATGAGTACATTTTTACAAAGCAATATTTAAACTATAATAAATGTAAATTATAAAAAATAATACATGTAAAAATAAATATATTATTTATATTATATTCTGATTTTTGAAAGGTGCAGAATGCAGTGGTGTGACAGGGATATCTTGCACTGATGAACAGCGTAGATGGAATGCAGGGACCAAAAGAAATCATGAACAGAAAAGTTTTTTTTTTAGTTTTCTGTAGCTGTTGTGACAGCCTTTAACGGCACAAATTCTACCAGAGCCGCCACTATTTGTCATCACTCGTAACTGCGTTTAGCTGACGACAATTACTTAACGGAAGTTGAGAGCATCTTACCGGAAGTCACTCGCCGCTATGGCGCCCCCCACGAAGAAGTGAGGAAAAAGGTGAATAGTTACGGTATGATGCTGGCAACCACAGCTGCCAGTAGTTTACCGTTTTTTTTACAGGATTGTTTTTTTTTTTTTTTAAGAATCTTGCTCACAACATTTCCTAATCTTAGGGTTATGGGTCAGGCTTCAGAATTTGGATCAGAATTTGATTTGTCTGGTCAAAAGTCTTTAAATAGGTCTCTTACGATCACCAAGGCTGTGTTTATTTGATCAAAATCACAGTCAAAACAGTAATGTTGTGCAATAATTGTTTACTGTTTTAATATATTTTAAACTGTAATTTATTCAAAGCTGTCATTTCTAAAGTCTTCAGTATCACGTGAATCTTCAGAACTCATTGTAATATGTGTCAGAGCTGTGGCTTAGCAGTTATCACTTTGGTGCTCAAAAGGGAAACTGGAGTTCAAATCTGGCTCACAACATTTCCTAATCCTGTTTCCCCCTTAATTTCCTGTTCTCCTATGTTGTCAAATGGTCAAAAGCTGTCAATAGACACTTTAAGGTCTTGACAGACATATTACAATAATACAGTGATCATGCTTTTTACATGTTGGGGAACCTCAATGACATATATGTCAGATTATTACTATAAAAGGAGGAGTCAAAAATGCAGCAAACCAGCCAACTCTATTATCTATACAAATGCCTGTTTTCACAGTCCAGAATCATCCAGGAACATTCTTGCCTTAAAGAACTCACCAAACCAGTACCTGCAAGTACCATTTTTTCCACAATCTACAGATCAGATTTGAGTGAGAATGCCAAGTAAAACAGCAGGATGGATGTGATAGAGGAGAAAGCTGAATGCATGTTCAGACACACAAGTGTTTTGAAGTCACCTTATTCAAAAAACCTAAAAACACTCCATTCAACTAAATTACCCTGAACTCTTCAGCTCATTAATAGTTCCTATTAAAGCAAAGCTTGAACTTCTCACCTAACCCAAAAAGGTTTAAGGGTGAATTTTACAAAAACCTGTCAAAATCATGTCTCAGTGATATTTTATCCAAAAAACCAAAAGAAAGAAATAATTAGAGTTCAGTCACGCCAACTCGCTGAGTGGATTATTTCCACCTGCATTTGGGGCATGGAATATACATAGCTTGATTTTGGAGGATAACTATCCAGTCGTGTGGTTTGCAGCACACTGGATGTAACTGCATCTAAAATCTATTGTAAATACAAATCTAAATACAATATCTATTGTATGATTTCACAGAAGACATCACACAGGTTCTTAACGACATGAGGCTGAGCAAATGATGACAGATCTTTCATTTTTGGGTGAACTATCCCTTTAACAATTACAAAATGCCTACCAACCAAGCTGTTATAGGCCTTTTCAGGGGAAAGACAGTGTGTAGGTGGGGATTTTACTTGCTGTTTGACTAGTCATGGATCTTTGAAAAACAGAAAAAGGGCGTCATGTGAACTGTTCTACTCTTACAAAAACAAACCGTTTGGAAGGGCTTCTGAAGTGTCAAACATTAAAACAACAAAAATGTTACGTTGTTGGTTATGTTATTACAGCTTTTCTACGTTTAAGTGCAATTTCTATATATATAAAAAGATTTTTTAAAGAAACACATATTTCCCAAACACAATAAACCTACTCATGCTATAGTATCTGGATGTTAAACTGGGATAAAAGAAAACATTTTATCATTGAAATTAAGTTTAAGTAACTTAAACACTGTGTTTTTAAGCATTATAGTGTCCTTGCTCTAAAGAATAGGGTAAACCACAAGTGTTTGAATGGAGAGAGCAGGCAATCATTCACTACCTCCTCAGGCCCCAAAGCATTAATTGGCCGAAAACATCTGATGCACTGAGGCGTATAACCAATAAGTGTGTGTTCATGTGTACCAACATGAAAGTCATGTGGTTAAAAAAAGCTTCTCCACTACATTTGTATGCATCCAACAGCCCGATGTACCAGCATTTCCCCGAGCATAAACTGTGTAATGATTTCCACACTTCAGAAATATATCCCAGACCACCGTTTAGATTCGGTGGATTGTACAAAATCACTTATTTTCTTCACGCCATGTTTACAAGGCCTTGAAATTCTCAGAGGTGGCAATGACATTAAAAGGCTCGAAGAAAAAAAAAAAAACAGAAGATTGTGAGCAGGAGAGGATAAGAAGTGTGGGTGTAACTGATTAAAGCGTGGCCAGCGCTCTACAAAGGAGAACAGCGGTTTACCCATTCTCTTCATAAAAAAGGAGGAAGCAATAAATAATTGGTCAGGACAAGCTATTCAAAACATTGGCATCCTCTCTCTATTGGTGAACTCTTTGCTTTTGGCCTGTTTGGTCTGGAAGTCTTTCATGAACACTGTGAAACCGATGGGAACGCGTCTCTCCATCACAGATTTGATCGCATGCATGGATGTAACGGTCTATTTTTTTAAACAGCTTGAAGTAGAAGCTAAATGTATTTGCACATTAATCTGACTGTGGTAGGTCAAATCTGAAAGGAAAGAATTCCAGAATAAAGCTGAATGGGAACCAATTCAAAGGAACAGAGTGCTTTGGATATTACTTCTTGATTTAAAATGTAATCTTTTTAGGAAATTAAAAATACGTGCGCCAATGTTTCAAATTAGGCTGAAAGAAAATATATAATCTACTGCAGAACTGGCAAACCTTAGATAGCTCTTGTCCAGCATCGCACTGCCGACAGGGAATACAGCTCCCAAACTTATCCTTGTATTCCTGTTCCCTGCAATCTCTTCTCTCCTCTGCCATAACTGCAATCTGTGAGGGACATGAAACCAGCATGGTTAATATTCAATATATTTAATATAATATTGTTCATAAAAGTGGGGTGCACCAAGATATTATAATAATGATGATTATACTCAAGAACAAACAAATACACTGGCGTTCAAAGGTATGGGGTTAGTGAGGTTTAAGAATTCAGTAATGATGCATTAAATTGATCAAAAGTGATAGTAAAGACATAATGTTACAAAAGATTTCTATTTTAAATAAATGTCGTTCTTTTGAACTTTTTATTTATCAAAAAATCCTGAAAAAATGTTTTACGCTTTCCACAAAAATGTTAGGCAGCACAACTGTTTTCAACATTGATAATAATAAGAAATGTTTTTTTGAAGCAGCAAATCAGCATATTATGAACCCTTTTCACATTTCAGAAGTGGTTTAGTTGGGTAAACTTCTAAAAGCGCTGAATTGGAGATGAGACGACTGCAAATATAATTTTTGCATTCCTATTTTCTGCAATATGTGAAAGATAAAATCCATGAAGGTGTTTCCACGACTTTCCAAAAGCGAGGAAAAAAATAGCGAGATTGATTACATCACTCAGAATGAGTAAGATCAGATGTCAAATGTGTCGTCCCTCCCTCAGTCGTTGATTTAGAAACACCCTCAAAGCAACGGTCATTTGCTTTTTGTCAAGGTAATATATCATACAGTATAGTGTTATGAAAATGAAAATATTAAAAACTTGACTAGATTTGCGATGTTGATAACTGTGGAAACGTCATCACAGTCTGTGAAAAGGGTAATGATTTCTGAAAGATCGTGTGACACTGAATACTGGAGTAATGATACTGAAAATTACAGGAATAAATTACAATTTAAAATATATTACAACACAAAAAAAAACAGTTCTTTTAAATTGTGATCATATTACACAACATTTTTGTTTTTACTGTGTTTTTGATCAACTAAATGCAGCCTTGGTGAGCAAAAGAGTCTTTCAAAAAACAAAATCTTACCCACCCCAAACTTTTGAACAGTATACTGTAAAAATGTATATGATCAATAAGTTATGACAACATTTGCTTTTACATTGCTTTAACTCATAAAAATAAGTTAACTTTTTTAAGTCTAGTTGAAATGACTTAAACATCCAAGTTGATTGTACTTAAAAACTTTTTTTTTTTTTTTACTGAGAGCACATCTCGGGGTAAAAAGCAATTAAGTCAAGTATTAATTTGTCACTTCTTAAAGTTTACGAGTAAGCAGAAGGCGTTAATATGAACCAAGCGTACCATAACACACAGTGGAAGGACGAGTATCCTGTGAAGAGTGAACGCGGAGAGGATCGGTGCCGCAGGCATTCTGAAAGGTCTTTCCCACATACACTGTGAAAGCAGAAATCCTTTGATGAATGATTAATGGAGGACACTATTTGTCATTATCTCTCAAAACTGTGTGAACGCCAAGCAAATGATTATTATAAATCCATACCCTTTTTTAATGCTTTTTATATAAATCTCCTGTCTAGAATATGTTAAAGAATACAAGTCTCACTATAATTATATTAGCTTGTGTACAACAACACAGATACTTATAAATCATACAAAGAGATGTGTGTTTTTTTTATTATTATTATTATTGTAAAAATGAATAAAGTTTTCTGTGATGGGTGGGATTAGAGGTGGGGAATAGAATATACAGTTTGTAGGGCCTACATAAAAATCATTATGTCTATGGAAAGTCCCGATAAGACATGAAAACTCAATGAGTGTGTGTAGTTACTGATTCATAACTATGTATTATTAATGGTTGAATCAGAAAAAGTACACCCTCCCCCCTTAAAAACACTAATATTGGCAGATAATGATTAATTTAGGCTATGTTATAATACATTGCGTTTGATGTCTTCAAAACATTATAATAAGTAGCCTACTATATAAAATATGGATAACTTTTTCTGTTACTTTTCGTCCTGGCATAGAACAAGATTGTAGGCTATACTGAATGAATTAAAAATAAGCCACTTATAGGCCTATAGATAAGCACTATGTGTGTGTGTTTGTTCTGTAGTTAGTTTTCTGAAGATTTTTGGATTCGGTCAAAGCTCGGCAAAATGTATTTCTTACCGATAACGCGTCGCTCGTGAGATCCCGCGGTCCCCTACGGAAAGCTGTTCGGGATGCGGTCCCGTGAACCCGTCCCGTCCAGGAGTCCAGCACTGGAGTTAAAGTTCAGATCAAACACTGCTGTCTGATGATGCCTGCAATCTGATCTCCCATCAGCATGTAACGTTACATCAAAGCTTCACACACGTCCTGGACAAGAAGCGCTTTAACCGAGGCTGTTTACTCACTCACACCCCTCCATAATCCGAATACCTGCAAAAAGCACAGACTATCTGCATGACCCCGAGGCGGACGTAAAGCGGCCAGCAACTGTGAGTGTGTGTGTGTGATCTGGTTGCTCTCTTCTCCAGTCTTCCCTGCTGCCTGCGAGTGTTTGATGCAGAATTCCCTTTCATCTCCGTGACGTCACTCGCCGCGACGCGATTGGCTGCATTGTCTGCTGAGGAAACTTTCACACGTCGAGTTTGATTTCTTGAAATCGAATCTTTTGCACTCTTGTGGTTACACGGACGTATTTGAAGACACTTAAATAGTAATGTTATTAAGTTAGATGACAGAATATCAAACCAAGTGTCATTTGTTTAAGAAAAAAAAGCCGTTTTTAAGATAAACATTTCACAAAAATAAGGTTGAGTGAAAACGCTGTTAGCTTTTGTTTGGATCCGCTGAGTGTTCAGTTAAACGCTGTTGTAATATTTAATGTTCAAAGATGTGCAAGTACTGGATGCATTCTGCTGGTCATTTCAGAGTATTACACTCTCGAATAGTATGCCACTTGTGGCATTTATGCTCTCTGATATTCCACCCAAAAATGAAAATTCTGTCATCATTTACTCACCCTCAAGTTGTTGCAAACCTGTAGGAGTTTCTTTCTTCTGCTGAACTCAAAGGAAGATATTTTGAAGAACGATGGGAAGGGAACCAGCAGTGATGTAGCCTAGTGGTGCCTGGAGAAGTGGGTGTACTCTTAATTTATGCCCCCAATATTTTTTTAAGCGTCCCAGCAAAGGATGAACGCTCTGTGTTATAAACAGTGACATGTAAGACTACTAGTCTTGCATTAGTATTCAATATGCAAGACTATAGAATAGAGTATAATGAATACAATAGAACACATAGAATCAGTAGTATTCTTGCATATCAGGGCCGCACATATAGTTTTCTAAATACCCAGGTGCCAGGTCCCATAAATGATATTGTTAGGGGGGTTCGGGGGCATGCCCCCCCGAGAAAATTTTGATTTTCCTGATCTCGAAATGAGCATTTTAAGGTGTTTTGATGGCCAAAAAAATTGACAACAATAGCTTTAAAAGCATGAAGTAGCCTATTTGATCAGATTCTTAAACATGAGAATCAGTTACAGTTTCAGCGACTTTTCTTTCCTAAATTAATCAATGTTTTTTGGACTAATCTGTTAATTTAATTAATGGTTCAATTGCTCACTCAAAAAGACAGTCACTTGTCGCCATGCACCCTCTGGCTAAATGATGCAATTGGCGCAAACGCAGACAAGTCAAACACATTCGAAAAAATGTTATACAAATATATTTATACAATAATAATGGCAATCTATTTAATAGGGTGCTTGTGTTGTTAAATTGAGCTTGTAATTTCCACTGCCTTTAATCAAACTGATTATTTCTGTCGGTCATTTAAAACGTCTATTGAAAAACAAACGTAAATTTGAGCTACTTGCATCTTATCTCGCACTGTCGTTAACTGAAGTGAAGCGTCGCGTTGGGATTCGCGCTCAGCTCGCGCTTCTATGAACAAAAATCCTGCATTCTTTGATTGGTCTCACGAACATTTTGACATTGACGAGCAGGTGAGTGCTGAAGAAGGTCAGTTATCGTCGCGATGGGAGAATCATTGCAGCAACAAATTAGAGTTAATATTACGGGTACAACTCTAACGGGGTGTTTTTTTTATTCACGAAATTGGATTAGCAACTAAATGATGCGCATCAGAGGGGATTTAGAAGTGGGTACGCAATGCCGACTGAAAAGGAAGTGGGTATACGCCGTATACCCTGCACTACACCACTGGGAACCAGAGTTGTCTCTCACAGTGGAATTCAGTTAAAAGCATCATACTGTCTGTCAGTGTGTTTGTCCATTACAGACCTCCTTGACGTTAATTAATACTGCCCTCTTGTGGATATTAGATGCCAAGGACTCCAAATATGATCATCCTTGTTCGAGGGACCCCCATCCTAAAATGTAAATAGTTTTGTATAAAGACCCTGTTTAGAATAAAATAATATTATTGAAATACCTTAAATATTATTTAGTTTCTGTTCAGTTACGTTATTGTTTCTTTTTTTTGTAATGTACTAATACTGTATTGTTAGATGTATTATTTATTTAATTTTGTAATTTAACTAATTTTATTTTACTCATTTATTTGTTTGTTTTAACTCGTGCATACTAGACAGCTATTCAAAAAGCCATTTCTTTCATATGCATGTGATTACACAGTTGCACATGTGGACACTAGTGCATCAGACTGCCACCTATTGGCAAGCTGTTGTATGTGAAATGTGTTTTCTCTTGCAGGCAGAAGAAAAGGTTGTAACATCAAGTAACATCTAAGGGTCATATCATTGTTCAATTTTACAAGTGTTGATTTTAGATTGATTACATAATGTATGTTAGCCTATTTGTAATGTGTTACTTTACTCGTTGCATCAAAAAAGTAATCTGATTACGCAATGCATTTTACTTTTAATGTGTTACTTGTTACATCAAAAAGTAATCTGATTTCATAATGCATGTTACTAACTCATTACATCAAAAAGTAATCTGATTACATAATACATGTTACATGTATTGTGTTAATTTACTCATTACATCAAAAAAGTAATCTGATTACATAGCATCAGCGATCAGTTAACAGATCTTCGATGGGATCACATCCTCATGTTCTGATAAGAGCAATAAAAACACACAGGGGAAAAATCCCAACTGATGTTTTCATAATTCATGCATCAAAGGGTTGATGTCATTTTTACCTTTTAATTTATTTTTATTATTTATGGAATTTTGCTATTTTTAAATGTTTTTTTTTAAACTTTATATTGGCCTATATATATACACACACATTGCATTTAGAACAGTAAAAAGAGCTACACTTTCTCAATGTGCTTAAAGACTGTAAATAACCAAAAATATTAATAAGATGTATTAAAACTACATTCTAGCTTAACAGTTGAGTGAAAATGTAGACGTGCATCCGGCACTCTTCAGCGTCCAGCTGCAAGAGCCATGACCTTGGCATTGGTTTTGTTATCCTGCTATAAAAACACCATGAAGATAAGTGTGTGTGTCAGAAAGCAGGCAAACACACTTTACACTATTAATGAAATGAATGTCCTTCATATCTCTTTGCTTCACCATGACCATGTCTTTTAGAACAGACTTGAAAACAGATAGTTTGCCCAATAGACCAAATCATGGAATAAAAGCATTTAGAGTTGTCCACGAAAAAGTATTAAAGTTGACTACTTAAAATGTCTGAAATTGCTCGTTGTTTGTTTAGAAATGTATGATATTTTAGCTACTGTTGTATTTAAGTTTATTTATTTATTTATTTATTTATTTCAGGTTTATTTAACAGGGACAATGCACACTAATGATACATGATTAAATGTACAGTGTGCCAGAATTAGCCAGTAGGCTATTTTACATCTGCTGTCCCTGTGCACATCTCTTTCATCTGTTGTGTACATGGATTTTAAACATTTGCTTTTATTGCTTCCAGGCTGTTTATTCTGTTTTACTGTTTACCAATAGTCTTCAAAATTTGATAAAAGGGTTTGTTCTTGAAGTTTTTATGTTTGTTTATGTGTTAGTTGTAATGCCTATAACTGCTTTTCAGACTTGGTGAACTTGGTGAGCTTCTGCAATTGAGTACAAAATAATAATAAAAAAACATTGTCCACAGTATTATTGTTATATAATTAAATATTTCCAATTTTAGTTGATATTCTTAATTTTCATACTTTAAGACTGAAAGTCTGGCGCTAATTGGACCTCGGCCTCAGACGTCATGCCCACAGACCGTTGGCTGAACGTCTAATGTATTTGGCCAAAGACTTTAGATGTATAAAGACATTACAATGAATGAATAGCTGAATGAAAGTGCAATGTGAAATATGGCTGAATAAGTCCCGCCTTCTAAATAAAAGAGCCAATCAACAATCGGTTTTGGTTGCTGCATGTCATTGGCTACTGGTCCAGCCTGAAAAATGCTGGGTTTTCTTGTCATGATTTAAGTGTATAGAAAATAAAAGTCTTAAACAGTTGTCAGTATTAATTGGTGATTTCAAATACGAAATTTAATCATAAGCTTGGTCAACACCTTTGGAGAATTTGATGTTCCCCCATTCTGTACTTGCATGACTTAAACAGGGCGTTTCAAAGATGGCCGCCGACTGAAATGACTTGCCTTAACGAGACTTTAATTTGGCACACGCAATTGGAAACACTTTGAGAGTTTTGAAGTTGTCATCTGATATGTGTGTTGTGTTCGTTTATGGCCTTTCTGACACCAAAACCCCTCATGGCAGAAGAAAGCCATCGTGTTTACAACTGTGACAATGAGTGCTTATCATGATCAACTAAATGCTGGATTTTCAGAAGTATGAAGCTCACGAGTCACGACTCTTTAAGATCCATCCAAGAGTTTTACAAGTTAGGGACATCGACTTTTCATTTTCATGCTCTAAAAGAGCAGATTTATTAAATGAATAAATAAATAAATAAATACATAAAAGTGGGACATAACATTGCCTGAAGAAATGGCCATAATGGCCCATGATAATGGTTATAATTTATCCTCTATGTATAGAAATAATAATTTTAATAATAATTTAAATAATAATATTTTGACACTCTTATGAGCCACTGTTGTTATTGTGGAGCTGAGGGTCACGTGATGCGAATGTGCGCACGTGTAAGTGACAGAGCGGCTCATGGAGAGAGAGAATGCGAGGGAGGGGCGCGCTATCACACCCGGAAACGACTTTACATATCCTACTATGGCGAAAACTAAGCTCATGAATATTAATTAGGTTTCCTGATTGGATGCTTCTAGAGCATCGTAAATTAATAATAATGAGTGAGGTTTTGGCCATAGTAGATTGTGTAATTTCGCTACCCGCACAGTGTTAAATCAGATACGAAGCCTACTTACTCTTTGTTCAGCAAGGATTGTATGGGCAGAAATTACAGTGTTGTGTATGAAAACGTTGTTTTAATTATTTTTATAATCTGAAATGAGCTTGTGTTGGATATGGTCGCGAGAACACCGGAAATTCTTTACAATCGCGGCTGGTCTAGTGACTTTATCATAAAGAGGTAAGTACACTAGTCTAAAATAGCCTACGCCTATTTTTCGTTTTCGTTTCAGTCTTTGTATTTAAGGTTTTGATCTAACTTTATGAACAGACGGCTTTGATGGAATAGACAACAAGCTCAGGAGACATTTAGGTATTAAACTAATGAATTTGATGCCCGATCATTTCCCCTGTTCAATATTCTTTTCACTTACAGCTGATATATAGTTTTTATCACTTATTATTTTGGTTAAAACTATATTATAGAGTGTTAAGCTTTTTGGCGTTAACTTTGTCCCCATATGTCCGTTAGTCAAAATTAAACATTTACATGAGCCATATTTTAAAGAAAACTAGCCTGCTGTAAAGTAGCCTAGATTTTATCCTGTTTTTCACATAGGCTACATTTATTTCATGCATTTTATTAAACCATTTTTAATCATATCTTGTTTAGCCTATAATTATTTTAATAATTGTCATTTAGTAGGCTATTATAGCCTAGCTACACGTCATTATTTAATTGATCGCTTTTATTGTAGGTAGGTACGTTTATGAAGAATGTCTGGACTAAATTTGTTCTGAAGATAAATAGATATCTGTCAGCTTCAATTGAATTATTATTCATTGTTTCATTAGGCTACACTACGTTTCATATTTCCATAAAAGGCTACATGTTGACATAGGCCTGATCATTAAAATCATAGAGTGTGACTGGGCAGATTTACGATATGATACGTGTCCGTTTTGACGTGTCTATGAATGTTTAAGTGATTTTAATTAACCATTACCCTCTGTCTTCAGATGCTCATAACCCCTTGCTCTGGGAATAAACCGCCATGGGAAATAGTTAATGGTCAATTCTGTATTAAACAACAAAGAAAAGCATCGTGTTCGTGTTGAACTGTAGGAAGTTTAAAACAGCGCCGCTTGGCAGGCATGAGCAGAGCCGATTCTGCAGAAAATGAGGATTGGACGTGAGCTACGTGAGCATCCAGGAGTAGACGTCATGACATGGAGAGACTGGAAAACAAGGACCTTTTAAATGCACACGGGCGCGAGAGTATCAATTCACCGCAAGAGAGAGTCGCGAATGGCTGTTGTGAGTCTCGCGCTGTAAATATAATGGGTCTGAACGCGACCACTGCGGAGGAACTACTGGCTGGACATGCGTCTAGATCTGGATCCGGGGTCACGCTTTTGAAGGAGTTGAAGAGTGGGTTGCCTTTATATAATGGTGGTGGAGCAGTGTCCCCTTCACCTACAGCTGAAGGAAGTTATCATGATGTCCCTGCGCTGAAGCAAAACGGGTGTTTGCATCTGAATGGACTGGTGGAGAACCCCCATGGGGGCCTCCCTTCTCACAGGGACACACTTTTGAAGGAGTTGAAGAGTGGGTTGCCTTTGTATAATGGTGGAGGAGCGGTGTCCCCTTTACCTAGAGCTGAAGGAAGTTATCATGATGTCCCTGCGCCCAAGCAAAGCGGGTGTTTGCATCTGAATGGACTGGTGGAGACCCCCCATGGGGGCCTCGCTTCTCACGGGGACAGGACTTCAAAAAGACCTTGTGGAGATGTGCGATTCAGACAACTCCAGCACCAGAGGAGAAAAGATGAGGAAAACAGAGACTTCGGGGCCCATAGTGGTTGTCCCGGAATGGGGTCCTCGGAAACGCCCAATGTACCGGACTCTCCTTCACTTGAATGCAAAAGGAGGAGGTTTGAAATGGGCCTTAGAACAGACTCAAGTAAAAGCACACAGGCTGTTGCGCCCCTTGCAGCCAATCACCAACACAACAACAGCTCCCTGTCATCCCCCAGTTGGGTCCACCACAATGGGCACAAAGCTGTAATGAACCATGCGGCCCCGGGGCAGGCTGAGTTTCGATTGGTGCCACCTGTGGTGGCCCCCAGTGCAGGCTGGTCCCCAGAGCACATGGCTCAGCAGTACATAGTTCCCTGTATGAAGTATTACGGCATTTGCGTCAAAGATGCCTTCCTGAGCGATCGACTGGGCGGTAGGGTTCTAGAGGAAGTGGAGACACTAAATCACAGCGGAAAGTTCAGAGGCGGCCAGTTAGTCAGCCAAAAGAGCATCCCCTCTAAGAACATCCGTGGTGACCAGATCGCCTGGGTCGAGGGCAACGAGCCGGGCTGCGAGAACATAGGAGTCCTCATGGCTCACATCGATGATGCCATCATGCGCAGTGCGGCCAGTGGGCAGCTGGGAGATTATGTCATCAATGGCCGCACAAAGGTGAGTGCTCGCACACTTAAAAATGAAAATTATGTTTGCATCTACTCACAAAAATGTCGTTTCCAAAACTGAATGACTTATGAAATCGAGGTTCCTCCTTATTGGAATGGTTCCATGAATAACTTATAATATACATCGAACCTTTCCATTGCACGAAAGATTCTTTGCAGTGGAAAAGGGTTATTCAGATTATTGAAATATTCTTCCCACTAAGAAAACATAGTTATTTTCAGAACTGTTAACAGAAACATTCTTTGGGGAACTCAAAATGTTTTTTGTTTTTTTGTATTACATTGCTATGGAAATCCCTTTTTGTGTGTTTTGTGGAACATAAAATACGTTTTTTTTTTTAAAGTCAGTAGTAACCAAAATGGTTTGGTTCTTCAAACTATTCCGAAAAATATGTCTTCAGCAGAATAAAGAAAGTCATACAGGTCTGGAATTACACCAGGTTGAGGAAATGATGGCAGAATTTTCATTTTTGGGTCTGTTTGTCTGGACCTGTTAGGTAACCAGTGAAATTCTTGAATGTCAAAATCTGTATAGGCAGCACAAACCTTAAAGTCTTGGCTGTAAAAGCAGTTTAACATTTCAATGATCATTATTGCACATGAAAATAAGATTTGTTTATTTACTAAATATTTGTAAGTAAGTTGCCATAAACCAAGCTTTTCAGCAATAGCATGTGACAACTTGCCCCGATCTTACATACTCCATAATTTAAAAGACCTAAAAACATCCTTGTTAGCATCTAAACATTTACTTGAGCATTGTTGTTTTATTTTAACCCATCTCACAGGTTTACCCAACAAAATGTTTTTGACTCAACTGCTAACTGCTTGTATCATCTAAAAATGTAAACAATATGTTTGGCCTGCTCTCAACTAAGGCATAAAGATATTAAAACTAGTGCTGTTAAATCGATTAATCATAATTGCATATTATATGTAAAAAAAAAAAAAAAATGATGATCAATAAGTTGACAACAAGTAAGTAAACAATTTTCAACTCATTTTAAAGTCAGTTTAATGTAATTTAAGTTGAAATGACTTAAACAATCAAGTTGTTTGTACTTAGTAAAAATAAATTTGCCGCCTTCATTTTTTTGTTTATGTATGTGTGTGTGTGATGTACTGTATTTACAAACTTTTATGTTACTTTTATGCAAATCATGCGATTAATCGATTTGACAGCACCAAAAACATTAACATCATGGTTTTCTGTAAAACTGAAATGTGTATTGTGATATAAATAAATTTAATTTGAATTCATTCAAAACCTTAAGGTTCAGTCATGAACAAAAACCAGCCATTTCAACAGGAATCCATACGATCTGAAATTTCGAGCAAGTTCCCCTCACACATTTTGTATCCGTTATTCACACTAATTCGCCACATTGACCAACAGAATATGATCAAACCGTTGAGTTTGCTCACAGTTTGATATGAATGAGACTTCTGTGTGAACGGATCTTAGTGCACCACAACACTATTGACAATGAACCTTTTTTGATGGATGAAATTTAATTGAAATTCCGCTTTGCCTTTATAGTTACTGAAATATAGTCCACATCTCGCCTTTTTCAGTATATACCACCAGTATCATTACAGGCAATAGCTTCAAGGTCCAAACTGCCAAGCACTGTCACCAGCAATGTAAACCTGCATTCAGGAAGTTGTGGTTGGGTGTATCAAACAAGATATTTACTGTCTGTTGTGTTTCTCACTGTCCCACTGTTCTCAACTGGCAGCCTGAGAAATGGCGTTTTATCAGACCCCAGATCAGTGTTTCTCTGGCTTTGAAGACTCCTCTGTCAGTCTCTATCTCCAGCCCATAAACAAACAACATATTCTTACTGTCACCATTTAGGTGCAGTGCTTGTACACACTGTGTTCATTGTGTGCGTGAGACAGTATCAGAGCTTATCAGACACAATTACGTATTTACAAAGACCCTGGATCTGAAAATGATTGTTCAATTTATTGCTGTGTTGGAATGAGAAAAAAAAAAAAAGATTTTCCGGTATTACAGACATGTAAGGAATAATGGCATTGCTCAGTTAGTGTGTGATTGAACATTGACCCGTTTGCACGCAGGGTGCCGCATCAGTCCTGTCAACACGTCAGAGGAAAACTACCCATATGACGCAAGTTTGGTTATTTGAGCTTGCCAGGTCAAACCAGAGTCCAATAGTATGAGATGTTCCTGCTGTGGCATTTTCCACACAAAGAAAACATGTACACTCCCGTTTTAAAAATAAGTCTCTTATCAACAAGACTGCTTTTATTGGATCAAACACCGTACAATTATATGGTAATATTGTGAAATATTATTGCAATTTAAAAGAGCTGTTGTCTATTTGAATATAATTTCAGATGTTATTTATTCCTGTGATGATAAAGCCAAATTTTCATCATCATCATTACTTACTCCAGTCATGCTGTACTTTTGACCTTTCTATTCAATTTCAAATCTGAATTAAATTCTATTCCCATCAAATCCTGAAACATTGATACAAAAGAGAAAACTGAAATGCTGTTCTTTTGACCTTTTTATTCAATTTCAAATCTGAATAGAAATTCAATTCTATTTCAATCAAATCCTGAAAAGATTATACAAAAGAAAAAACAGAAATGCTGTTCTTTTGACCTTTCTATTCAATTTCAAATCTGAATAGAAATTCAATTCTATTCCAATCAAATCCTGAAAAAAATATACAAAAGAGAAAACAGAAATGCTGTTCTTTTGACCTTTCTATTCAATTTCAAATCTGAATAGAAATTCAATTCTATTCTAGTCCAATCAAATCCTGAAAAATGATACAAAAGAGAAAACAGAAATGCTGTTCTTTTGACCTTTGTTTAATTTCAAATTTGAATAGAAATTCAATTCCAATCAAATCCCAATCAAATCCTTAAAAGATGATACAAAAGAGAAAACAGAAATGCTGTTCTTTTGACCTTTCTATTCAATTCCAAATCTGAATAGAAATTAAATTCTATTTCAATCAAATCCTGAAAAGATGATACAAAAGAGAAAACAGAAATGCTGTTCTTTTGACCTTTCTATTCAATTTCAAATCTGAATAGAAAATCAATTCTATTCAATTCCAATCAAATCCTGAAAAATGATACAAAAGAGAAAACAGAAATGCTGTTCTTTTGACCTTTGTTCAATTTCAAATCTGAATAGAAATTCAATTCCAATCAAATCCTGAAAAGATGATGCAAAAGAGAAAACAGAAATGCTGTTCTTTTGACCTTTCTATTCAATTAAATCTGAATAGAATTTAAATTCTATTTCAATCAAATCCTGAAAAGATGATACAAAAGAGAAAACAGAAATGCTGTTCTTTTGACCTTTCTATTCAATTTCAAATCTGAATAGAAATTCAATTCTATTCCAATCAAATCCTGAAAAAAAATACAAAAGAGAAAACAGAAATGCTGTTCTTTTGACCTTTCCGTTCAATTTCAAATCTGAATAGAAATTCAATTCTATTCTAGTCCAATAATATCCTGAAAAATTATACAAAAGAGAAAACAGAAATGCTGTTCTTTTGACCTTTGTTTAATTTCAAATCTGAATAGAAATTCAATTCTATTTCAATCAAATCCTGAAAAGATTATACAAAAGAAAAAAACAGAAATGCTGTTCTTTTGACCTTTCTATTCAATTTCAAATCTGAATAGAAATTCAATTCTATTCCAATCAAATCCTGAAAAAAATATACAAAAGAGAAAACAGAAATGCTGTTCTTTTGACCTTTCTATTCAATTTCAAATCTGAATAGAAATTCAATTCTATTCAAGTCCAATCAAATCCTGAAAAATGATACAAAAGAGAAAACAGAAATGCTGTTCTTTTGACCTTTGTTTAATTTCAAATTTGAATAGAAATTCAATTCCAATCAAATCCCAATCAAATCCTTAAAAGATGATACAAAAGAGAAAACAGAAATGCTGTTCTTTTGACCTTTCTATTCAATTCCAAATCTGAATAGAAATTAAATTCTATTTCAATCAAATCCTGAAAAGATGATACAAAAGAGAAAACAGAAATGCTGTTCTTTTGACCTTTCTATTCAATTTCAAATCTGAATAGAAAATCAATTCTATTCAATTCCAATCAAAATCCTGAAAAATGATACAAAAGAGAAAACAGAAATGCTGTTCTTTTGACCTTTGTTCAATTTCAAATCTGAATAGAAATTCAATTCCAATCAAATCCTGAAAAGATGATGCAAAAAGAGAAAACAGAAATGCTGTTCTTTTGACCTTTCTATTCAATTAAATCTGAATAGAATTTAAATTCTATTTCAATCAAATCCTGAAAAGATGATACAAAAGAGAAAACAGAAATGCTGTTCTTTTGACCTTTCTATTCAATTTCAAATCTGAATAGAAATTCAATTCTATTCCAATCAAATCCTGAAAAAAAATACAAAAGAGAAAACAGAAATGCTGTTCTTTTGACCTTTCCATTCAATTTCAAATCTGAATAGAAATTCAATTCTATTCTAGTCCAATAATATCCTGAAAAATTATACAAAAGAGAAAACAGAAATGCTGTTCTTTTGACCTTTGTTTAATTTCAAATCTGAATAGAAATTCAATTCCAATCAAATCCTGAAAAGATGATACAAAAGAGAAAACAGAAATGCTGTTCTTTTGACCTTTCTATTCAATTCCAAATCTGAATAGAATTTAAATTCTATTTCAATCAAATCCTGAAAAGATGATACAAAAGAGAAAACAGAAATGCTGTTCTTTTGACCTTTCTATTCAATTTCAAATCTGAATAGAAATTCAATTCTATTCTAGTCCAATCAAATCCTGAAAAATGATACAAAAGAGAAAACAGAAATGCTGTTCTTTTGACCTTTGTTCAATTTCAAATCTAAATAGAAATTCAATTCCAATCACATCCTGAAAAGATGATACAAAAAGAGAAAACAGAAATGCTGTTCTTTTGACCTTTCTATTCAATCCAAATCTGAATAGAAATTCAATTCTATTTCAATCAAATCCTGAAAAGATGATACAAAAGAGAAAACAGAAATGCTGTTCTTTTGACCTTTCTATTCAATTCCAAATCTGAATAGAAATTCAATTATATTTCAATCAAATCCTGAAAAGATGATACAAAAGAGAAAACAGAAATGCTGTTCTTTTGACCTTTCTATTCAATTTCAAATCTGAATAGAAATTCAATTCTAGTCCAATCAAATCCTGAAAAAATGATACAAAACAGAAAACAGAAATGCTGTTCTTTTGACCTTTGTTCAATTTCAAATCTGAATAGAAATTCAATTCTATTCCAATCAGATCTTAAAAGTCACAGCTTCCACATAATTAAACAGCAATAATTAATTAATTAATTAATTAAACCTTGTTTCCAACACTGATGATAATAATAAGAAACATTATTAATAATTGAGCTCCAATAATAACTGATTGCAATTAAGCAGCAACTCATAATACTAGAATGATATCTGAAGGATCATGTGACACTGAAGACTGGAGAAATGATGCTGAAAATTCAGCTTTTCGACACAAGTTTTAAAATTTTAAAATAGATTGAATTAGAAAACAGAAACACTGAGCATAAGCATATTTATTCCACACTTTTGTCCAGTCGTGTATATTCTCCATTCTCGCTGAACTTTCTCAAATAATTGAGCTTATTATTAAGAATGAGGTCTTATTGAGTCTCTGAATGCACAGTGGTTTTCTTGCTGCCTCAGACTACAGCTCAGGACCATGTGTACATTCTTATTGTAAGCACAGCCTGTCCATTGCTGTTGTGGTTAGAAACCTGATCTGGATGACCTTTAAGTGAATCTCAGGACAGGACGGTGTCAGCATGTCTTTACTGCCGTGTGATTGAGTGAGGAGAGGCTTCTGTTCAGTGGGTCAGATGATCGGTCAGACCTCACTGTCCTCATGCCATCCTTAATCTGCAGGGAATATTTTTTAATCTGTGGCGAGGGGAACACTGGATTAGCCTTGAGCCTTTTCCTCTCATTGCGGCTTTTTTTAAGCCTTTTCCTCTCATTGCGGCTCATATGTACTACATTATGTCGTATAGCTTGTCATTGTCAAAACTGTCTCTTTCAAAACCTGAAGTTAATATTCATATAGGTATTCCTACGTTTATATAGGTGTTTATCAGTTACCTTTTACCTACACTCTTAGAAGAAAGGGTTCAGGGTTCTTTACTCAACTCCAAATGACATTTTATGCTAAAAAAGGTTCTATAATGACAAGAAAGAACCCGTTTGGCACAAAGGTTCTTTAGAGGCTATCATTCATTCATATATTACATTATTCTGCAATATTTTGTAGTTGTAATTAAATTATTGCTTATTAAACTTAATATCACATTTTAATCATGCTGATTTTTGGAGGAGATTTTTCATGCTGATCTTCGTGGTATATTGATTAACTACATAAAATGATATAAATATATACATTTTCTAACCCCCATATCTTAAATTTTTATGTACAAAATTTTAGGGGTTCCAAATACGTACCGCGCTTTAGAACCTTTTAAGGTTCTATATAGAACCTTTTCTTCTAAGAGTGTAGATAGATGAAAAGCCTTGTTTTGATACATTTATTACAGATTATCCTTTTAGCATTTACACTATGTAGCCATATCCCTTTTGATCAGATCACAAAGCTTTTTCAAAACGCTCTGATTTTAGTGTTGTCTGCTTGTGATTGGAGCCCCCACAGTGGATTTTAATACTTGAGCCTAAAATGCCACAAAATGCCCTAATTTAATGCCCTAATGTTTCCTAAATCCCTCCTCTTCTGTACGACCAGGCCATGGTGGCGTGTTACCCTGGCAACGGAACAGGATATGTTCGGCATGTGGACAATCCTAACGGCGACGGGCGCTGCATAACCTGCATCTACTATCTGAACAAGGACTGGGATGTGAAGGTATGCTGTGTTTATTCTTACTGTGACTTGATCAGTCAGGAGGAGAGTCTTCTCATACCCATTTGCTTTTTGTCTGTTAGGTTCATGGAGGTTTATTGCAGATCTACCCCGAGGGTCGTAATGTTGTTGCCAACATCGAGCCTCTCTTTGACCGTCTGCTCATTTTCTGGTCGGATCGCCGGAACCCACATGAGGTGAAACCAGCTTTTGCCACCCGGTGAGTAAACACTATTTACAGTTATAACACACACACTCACACTAATAAACACTGGTAAACTGACTTGAATACACCTCTTCTGTGACGTGCATGCTAGTGCACTCATCTGACCCCGTCCCGTAGTCGTCCTCCACCATTGTTCTCCCACCACTACAAACACTACGGTTTGATTTAATCCTGCTCTATAAACACCACACCTGCAGTTGGTCTTCCTCAGGAAGAGGGTTTGTCTTGAAATGAGTTTGATGAAACAAATTAAACGCCATACTTTTGGTGTAGCAAAACAATTGGCGTTTACGTTTTACATTATTCTAGATTTCAGGATGAGGGTAGGTGCGTATCAAGCACCATCGCAGCTGGGGGCCGAGGCGGGGCACAGGAAGTACGTGCTTCCTGAGTGTAAGCGGCCGTCGTTTCAGTTTGTGCGCTCGTGCCGGTAGAACAGAGCCAGGAATAAACAAAACAGCCGCTCTACTAGTGTTGACTTAACCCTTTCTGTGCTTTGACCTCACAGTTATCCACATGAATCTGCACATCTCAAACTCAATATCAGTTTATAAACAGTCTTGAGTTCACAGATCAATACACATTAGTCAGATTGTCTGGTTGTAATGATCTCTCTCTTCCCACAGCTATGCCATCACCGTCTGGTACTTCGATGCAAAAGAGCGGACTCAAGCTAAAGAGAAGTACAGACTGGGTGAGTGTCGTATCTTTTAATAGAAACACTTGTGGCTTAGGCTGTTTTCAGTAGGTTTGGTTGGTGGGAACACATTTTCTCACGGTGATACTAATGTTAAAGAGCATACCAACCAATCACAACCAATGGGTACAATGTGAAAGTGACATTAATAGAGAGACATTAATACTTTTATTCAGTTCTTTTCAATTATATAGCATTAGGGGTGTCACGATTCTCCAAATACTCGATTCGATTAAATCGTTCCATTGTAAGGTCACAGTTCAATTTTAATTTTTTTTTGTAGCCCCCATTCACTTTATAGCCCTTAATCCTGTAATTGTGGACAAATGTGAGCACAGAGGACTCAGGTGTGATCCTAATTTTTATTTATTATAAATGCTATATCACTGTCTTCAATAAAGTTTTGTCTATTCATTTATGGTGTTTTTTTATTTTTTATTTTGGGGGTATTTTTGAAAAGTACCATATTTTCTATGTAAATTATGTGTATTTTTATGTTTTATTTTTTTGTATTTTTTTAACTACATTAAAATGTCATTCCAATAAGTTCTTAGAGCTAAAACCTAAAGATGAAGTGACTTTGCTGTCACCTGGTGTCTCATTTTGGCTTATTTTAGAAGGCTCTAAATTAAAGTTTTCCCATTCATTTCAATGGGTGCCCATTTTTGACCCAAATACAAGATTAAGGAGGGTTTTTTTCATCCACTTAACATTGTAGAATTGAGTCAAAAAAAAATGTGTGTGTTCAGGAGGCAAACTTAGGAGAAGTAGCCAAGTCTTGTACCGCTCAGATCAAGGGAACTATTAAAAATAAATCAAAAGTATTTTGCCCACATTTATCCAGAATATGGTTTTAGGGTTAGGCTGAAACCGGCCAATCAGGATGCTCTCTGTCTAACATGCGCTTCATGAGGCACACACGCAAGGTCTCTCGCTCTCTGCCGTTCAACCACTATATGGTTTGGAGCACAGTTTTTTCTGTCTCACATATGCGCTATTGTTCACTCGCTCTAGATTCTGGGAGATTTTTACTAATTTGCGGGCATCAGGGAGCCGCTATCCATATGCGAGAGACTCAGGATGTCTGCAAACAGTGGCTTTTTTGAGACGCGAACGTTGTCCACATAACTCACTGGGAATCCATAAAACTTCCACACCTGCTACTTCAATGAAAGAGCAGGGGGTTCAAGTTCTGACAATGGGTCTCCTGCATGCTATCTTTTTAATGGTTGTAGCTAAGTTAGAGGAGGTTGACCATAGACTCACAGCTTTTCAACACGCCAAAAAAAACAACAAAAAAAACGGCACGCCGACCGGACGTGACATGGGGGCGCGGCAGCATCGACGATTCCGTTTTTTATTTCGAAATTCGAGATTGTGAATTAATTTCAGTCGATTTCGATTTAAAATTGAAATCGTGACACCCTTATATCTCATTATAAGAGATTTAAAGGTAAAACCTAATTAGATAACGGATTTTCAGCACAGCACAAGGGTTAGAGTATTGCTTTAGTTCTCTGTTATTGTAATTCACCTTCTGTCTCTCTCTGTCCTTCACAGCTGCAGGACAGAAAGGAGTTAAAGTGCCCGTCACACAGAGCAGCAAGACCTGAATATCAGCCACTCAAGTGTGTCCTGTTCATGTGTGTGGCGGCCCGTGCTTCTGCCCGATTGGACGTTTTCAAGAGAAGACGCAAGAAGCCCAACAATCACGGCTCTTTCTGTGGCCTCAAACAACAAGTTTGATTTGATTGGATGAACACGGGACTGTTTTTAAATGAACACCCCGACCCCGGTTTCTCAAACTTGATGGTCACGGCACTGAAGGGCTGGCAGGAATGGCCTGTTTTCCCTCATCCCGAGGAAAGTTAACAACAGAAACATTACCAATGAACTTCAGCTACTAGTATTTTGAGTAATTACTGTATTAAAAAAAAGATTTTCAATCTCTAAACTCAACCCTTGCTTTTCACGACAATACACCCCAGCGTGAAGTGAGATTTTCCAGCGGCCTTTGTCATATCTTGTTCAGTGAATGTGTATCCAGCTTAACACTAGACATCTGACTTATACGCCAGTGCTCAGCTAGATCATGAAAACTGACATTAAATACCCAACAATCATATATACATGAATGCTTCAGTGGACAGAATCCCTTTAAGATTGAGCCTCAACCCTAGGAAACATTCAGGGTGAATTCACTCAGCGCTGAACAGCGCCCCCTGAAGGTGGCAATTTTCACAGTTGGCTTTGCTGCAATAATTATGTGAATCTGGTAGCAACCAAACACTGCAACCAGCAAATTTGAATGCTGCAGTTCCCCAGTTTTCAGTATGCATTCTTTCGGCTAGTCTGCGCTGTTTTTTAATCGTCTATGCCGTTTCATCACATCTCTGAGTTTTTTTCTATTTTATTTAAATCCACTCGAGCCGCTTTTTTTCGTAAGATGCTGCATCAAGTTAAATGTAATTCAACTTTGATAAACACATCCAGAATGTGTGTGAACACCCCCAACCTTAATTTCTAATGGTTTTCTGGGACTGTATTGTACTTTGGGATGTACCGATATAAAAATTATGGCCGATAATGATAAGCGAGAACAAACGTCTAAATATTACTTTTATGTTATAGATGATAACTGATAAATTGACCATATTAAAATTTGATATTTAATAAATATCTGATAATATTTGAGACAGTTATACAATTTTTGGTGGTTTTAAAGAAGTTTAAGTGTTGCAACAAATATGATTAAATGTAAAAGTATGAAAATGAGCTGCACAAGTAAACATCTAATGTCGATAAATTAAATGCCGATATATTGTACATACACACACAAACTGTGACGATTGAAGAAAAAAAAATGCATTAAAAATTCCCTCTTTTTTGGATTACAGTTTTAACATAAACTAATAAACTTAATGTGATGCATATTTGTCAGTCATATGTAAATGAAACCGGTATTTCTGTAATAGTAAAAATAAACTGAATGGTCTTTAAATAAACAATAACCAGGTTAACATATTTATCATCAGTGAATCCAACCGATTTAAATACATTTTAACTAACTGAATGTTGCTTCTTCCACAGCTAGCCATATTTTAACCATTCTTTTTAACTGAATACATTTAATTTTCACAATGAACAGATTATTGCTGATTCTGAGCATTTTGAGAATATGATTTTTTAAATAAAATCCAATAATAATGTATAATATTATAAAATAAATATTATAATAAATCAAATAAAAATCTTACCTGCTTTTTAATATGCATACATTTAAGTTTATCAGTTTCTTTAAAAAGGATTGACATTTGATATAAATATTTTGCAGCATCGCTTCACTAATGAAATCTGAATCAGCTCTTTAAAAAGCCAAACATGCATCTATACCGGATTTTAATGCTCCTCATCCACATTTGATGAAATACTGCCTTTTAAATCCTTTTAAAATAAAATTCGGTTTCACCTGCTTTCCATAGATGCCAATAGTGCACATTAAGTGCGGGGCCACATGGTACATGTACAGTATGAATCTGGCTAATTCTACAGCCTCATTTGCATAGAAAGATTGAATGTTTGCCTAGAAAATAATGAGAAGGACGCCGTTTTAATGGCATACCAGCACACGTAAAACATAAATTGGCCAAATGAGCAGCTAGCAGTTTGCTAAAGTAGCCTAGCGCTAGTTACGTTTTCAGCTTATAACATACAACCAATTAGAACCAACTCAATTTGCCATCTGCAGAATGTATGTTCTGTAACAAAAGGTCAAACAGGGTGCTGCTTGCGACCTTTTTTAATATAAGTAAGCATTAGGCTAATACTGCTGCATGCTATTTTTCTCTAGAGATGCACTTAACCTGAGATCTGATAATCTCCTTCCTGCCTCAGAGAGGCGCTGTACAACACAAGAGCTCAAAATGAGGCTCTCCACAAGTGATGGCAACTGCACTTATCCACCTTATTCTTAACATAAGAGTGGGCCGTTGTAACTTAAATGCATCTGAGCGGATGCAGTTATTTTACCTGTACATAAACAGTGTGTTGTGCTGCTTGATATTGCAAACGGTTACTTGTTATCATATGATTTTAATGTAGTATATGGTATTCATGAACACACTGGTTTGTAACACTAATTGTTTGACCTTTTACAGCATTTTGTAATTCTTACAGTTAATTACATATAGCAGAAAGCTAATCAGAAGTCTCCGCACATGCATAGAAAATAATAGCTTACATGCACGTTGAAATATAAGGTGGATATGTGACCTGGAAAACACAACAGCCTCATTCTATCAGGTGTCCACACATGCACTACTCTTGCCTTGTGCCTACATTTCCCAGAGGGCATTGCAAGTTCATCAGATGCTTATAAGAGGCTATGTTCAGAATGAGACACTAGCATATTGCACGGTGTACACTGTAGACTGCTTACTATTTATATAAAACAGTATGCAAGGGCAACAGAGGGCTATGTGTTTTCAACAGTAGTATGTTAAACTAATTAGCTCATTATCAAGATAAAATAAGGAAATGTATATAAAAATGCATTTTAAAATCAGTTTGTGAAACAATGTCAAGTAAAATGCATATTAAATATGAATAAATATATATTTTGTAGGGCTGTCAAACGTTTGTGTTTACATAATATATGTGGGTGCACTGTGTATAATTATTTTGTATATATATATATTTATATATATATACACACGCATGTATATTTAAGAAAAAATATTATTAATTTAATATTTTTATTTATATATAATATAAATTATATATAAATCTATATACAGTATATACATGAAAATATTTCTTAAATATATACAAGCATGTGTGTGTATTTATATATAGAAAATAATTATACACAGTGCACCCACATACTGTATATTATGCAAGTACAAACTTTTATTTTGGATGCGATTAATTGTTTGACAGCCCTAATATTTTGACATTTGTAAATGTATTAAAATGGCCCTGATGTTACGTCCTGTTCATTCGTCACTCTGAAAACAGAAGGTCAAGTCAAGCACAAAGCATTGTGGGGGCAGTGGTCCATTCAGTATGCTTTAGCAAATGTTGCATGTCATTCATTTATTCCATGTAAGCATTCGCATAGTATGCATACTATAGAAACAGTACAGTAGTGTGCTATTCTGAACATAGTCTCAGTCAGCAGTTTTCCCAGCATATACTCTATAGAGGGAGTGTAGTTTTGTTCTGTGTTTGAGTGACACATAAGTAAAACGGTAAAGCACTTTATCATATGTGTGATGTTTGAATGAGAAGCTACAGAAAGAAAATGCTTTGTGGAGTGTAACAGTATGAAACTTGAGAACTGAGAACAAAAAGATGTTCGCTAACCTTTCTGACTTTGCCAGAATTTAATTAAAATGTCAGATTTTGTACAGCTGACCACTGTGTTCTTGTTCTCTTTAAAATTGCTTGGGTAAAATGATACATACACAAACTTACAACATTGCTAAATGAAATAAAATAAAACTAAAAAATGAAGCTAGATGGAAATATAGAAAAATAACAAGAATCACAAAAGCAAAAAAACAACTAAAACCGAAACAAAAATAATACTGAATAAAGTCATATTTAAAGTAGGGCTGTCAAATGATTAATCGTGATTAATCGCATCCAAAATAAAAGTTTGTGTTTACATAATATATGTGGGTGCACTGTGTATAATTATTTTATATACACACACGCTTGTATATATTTAAGAAATATTTCATACTGTATATAGATTTATATATAATTTATATTATATATAAATATAAATATTTTATATATAAATAATATTTTTTTCTTAAATATACATGCATGTGTGTGTATTTATATATATATACAAAAATAATTATACACAGTGCACCCACATATATTATGTAAGCACAAACTTTTATTTTGTATGCGATTAATCGTTTGACAGCCCTAATTTAAAGATATTAAAATTCCACATTTAATTATGAGTCTAATAATCTATTAGGGTCTAATAAATTATTTTAATAAAAAATAAAAAAGTCTTTTTTACAACATTTATAGATGTACAAATGTGTTCTAATGTTTAATTTATTTTCTATTTCTAAATTATAATGGTGATGTGCGAGGACATTAAACGTGGCTGATATTCTGATATAGTGTAAGTGTTTGCATTACACTGAAAAGTACTTTTTTTTTTTTTTTTACAAACTTACGTCACTGGGACACATAAATGGGACTGTTAACTGAGAAGGGGAATTTATTTTTGTCTCTATGTAAATAAAGGAAGAAAAAAAATCAATACAACCCAGTCTCTGGATACACGTGTAACTTACAAATATTGCTATTACTTGAACTTTTAACTTGCACACTGGCTCGATAACGCTGAGAAGCGATTGATGTCACGTTGATAAGTATCTGTGTTTTTAAAGAGGAACTGACCCCAGATCAGTGTCATCTCAGCTAGAGGGGAGATATTAGTCCTGGAATGTGTCGACAAACAGGAAGTGTTTTTCCTTATCCGGCCCGGGCTCTGATTGAGTGGAAACCTCCTGCTCATTCAATTCAGTCATCTGCCCCTGTGTGTGAGTGTGTTCATCACTGCGGCCTTTGCTCCTGGATCTACCTCAGATTACTAGAGAGGTTTGTCTTTCTAGTGCTCAGACTGACCTCCAGCTAAACCAGAGCGAACTGGGCTAACACATCCGAAGAGATAACAGCAAAGATTAAACAAACACAGGGACACAATGAGGACATATGCCTCCAGACGAGATTAACTCAACATCTACCATTTTTCGAATCATTTTATTTTGACATAGTACATAATACGTAGTACGTAATATTAATTAACTACATATACTTAGAGATACAATTAGGGTTTGGTTATTTACTTGTTAGTATGCATCATTTATTGTTATTTATTAGGGTTGTCAAACGATTAATCGCATCCAAAATAAAAGTTTGTGTTTACATAATACATGTGGGTCCACTGTGTATAATTATTTTATATATATAAATACACACACACACATGCTTGTAGGTATATATTTAATAAATATTTTCATGTATATATAGATTAATATAATTATATTATATTATATATATATATTTATTTTCTTAAATATATACAAAATAATTAGACACAGTGCACCCACATATATTATGCAAACTTTTATTTTGGATGCAATTAATTGCAATTAATCGTTTGACAGCCCTATTATTTATTGTTATTTATTGTTACTTACTACATGTACATGTAGTAACGGAACTACGTCACCTTAAAATAAAGCGTTACCTATAATTATTTTACATACATTTTTTTTGTAAAAAAATTAAATAAAAATTATGGCCATAATACACTTTGGGTTTTTGCTGGCTATTTGCTTATATATTTTCATACGTCTTGTCATTATAACCTAATTGAGTTCAATATACAATTAAATATATACATGTTATAAACAATGTCATTTATTATAATAATATAAATACCAAAAAAAAAAAAACCACACATAATGACATAAGTAATACAGCAGTTGTGGCACATAGACTACCATTCAAAAGTTTGGGGTCGGTACAATTTTTGGAACAAGTATTATATTGTGAATTAAATATTATTAAAATTTTAAAATAACTATTTTCTTCATGAATATTTTAAAGTAAAGCTAACTTTTAGGCATCATTACCCCAATCTCCAGTGTCACCTGATCCTTCAGATATCACTCTAATATGATGATTTGCTGCTCAAGAAACATGTTCTTCATATATTTGTGGAATTTTTTTCCCAGGATTCTTTGATGAATAAAACGATCAAAAGAAAAATCACTTTTAAAATAGAACAATAATACATGTCCTTTCTGACACTTTTAATCAATTTAATGTGCCCTTGCTGAATAAAGTGAAAAAATTTGATGATCCAAACATTTCAAACTTTTATGTAATTGATGTTACTTTTATTAACCATTAAAGGGAGTTTACCCAAAAATCATCATTTACTCACCCTCAAGTTGTTCTAAACTTGTAAATAAAATAAAAAAATTCTGCTGAACACAAAGAAAGATGTTTTGAAGAATGTTTGTGTTTGGCAGAACGAAGACATTTTTACAGGTTTGGAACATTTTTGGGTGAACTATCCCTTTAATGACTGTACAACAATAACTGTAAAGTTTGAAAAGCCATTAAATGAAGGAAAATGCAATACATTATTGAGGAAGATGAAGCATTGAATGCCTTTAGAAGTCAATCTACTTTGCAGTTGAGTTTTCACTCAGACCATTGATTAAATGTCGGTCCGTGTGCACATGAACATTAAATTGCCAGCCAAAATAAAACATGCTTTGACAAGAAAACATCTGTCTTCATGAGGAACATCATCATAGCGTGACAACGCGAGCTTAGTTACTGTTTATATCAAAGGCGGCCCTTTCCTTAAGGCATTCTTCACACACGTACATACAAATACACACACCGTCCCGTCTTTCCTCTGACCCCCTCCTCCTCTCTGCGCTCCTCACGCTATATGACCATCAGGTTGTTGAGGCGTGGCGACGCACGATCCCAGAGGATCACATCAAGACAAAAGGCCTCTGCGCTGAGAGAGAGGAGGCCGGAAGGGGCCACTCAAACACAAGCATACATATGCTATAAACAACAGAAACACACACTTCAAATGACTTTTCTGAGGTTACACTTACTATTAAATCAGGACAATACAGTTTTCTCTTTTTGTTTTATCCCATTTCCATCTATGTGATAAACAAGTTAAGGCTAAAGTAAGGTAAACATGTATCTAAAAGTAATCCAAAAGTAGTCAGATTATATTACCTAAAATGTGTAATGATTACATTACTAACATTTTCATCATGTAATTTGTATTTAGTAATTTGTAAGTAATCTACCAAGCACTGTGTGTGTGTATGTGTGTGTGTGTGTGTGTGTGTGTGTGTGTGTGTGTATATATATATATATATGTATAGCCTTAACTTTAGCCTTAACTTATTTATATATATATATATATATATATATATATACATATACATGGCGTTAGAGTTTGTTACTGCTCCAAATACCATGGAAGGCCACAAAGAAAAAAAATCATGCTTTGGTAAATCATAATTATGAGATAAAAAGGCTAAATTATGATTTTAAAAAGTCATTATTATGACATGTCAAGAACAGCACAAGATTTGTTATGTTTTGGCGCCATCTTGTGGCAACGTCGACTGCATCGTTCTACGATTTTACTTTTAAAACCCCTTAAAATGATCCATTTTAAAATGTAGTACTGCATAACAACGAAATGTAAGTAAACGCATCAGGGACATTAAATACGAACTCATTATAATACATAAATACCATCATACGACGTGGAAATAAAGATAGATGGCGCCACTGAATTCCACGCGCACTCCTGCGAGCACGAGGCTTGAGTCTTTAACACGCACTCACCGGCGGCGTCAGAGTTCAGAGGTTGGGGAAAGGTCGTGTTTTGGGTTTTCTCCCAGTCCATTGTAAACGATGGCTTCCATAAGTTGGTTAACGTGCAGGCGGTTGTCCCGTCTTGTGTGCCCGTTCTCGCAGTTCGCGCGGCGGCCGCTGCTTCAGTACGCGTGGACTCCAGCGCGCGCGCTTCACCGCGGGAGCGCGCGCCGTGCGATGGAGAAATCCCCGGTGAACAGAACGCGAGCAGTGGAGCAACAGCAACAGTACATCATCACTGAACTAGACAAAGCCGACGCGCTGGTAAACACTAACACTCACTTACTCACTCATCCTGATGCTCTCACTTTAGACGTTTCATTGATATATTACTAATTACGAAAAGTACTAGTGGTACTCTGGTACACTAGTAGTATACAATGATGTTACTATTTTAATGCAGCATTTTATTAACATGCTAATCCAAATAAAATGGCTCTACAATGGTACTAGTACAAAATCGTGTTATTTAACATAGTGTCGTGTCCAAAAACCATGGTATTACATTGGTTTTATGTTACATTAGCCTATAATAATACTGATAATACCATACTAGCTACTATAATTTTTAAAATATCTTTTTTGACATAAATACCGAATGATCTGTGTATTAACGTTACCTCTTATATTACTTTATTTTCTAGATGCTGCGGAAGTCTCATGAAACAGGTGAGATTATCTGTCTAAATTAGGCCTATTGACATATAGAAAATAATGCCATCATTTACTCACCCTCATGTTTTTACTAAATGACTGTTCTTTTCTGTTGGACTTTTTAGTACAATATTTTGGCTATTATTAATGTAGAACTATAATATTATTGTACTTGGAATTGCTAAGCTCCAAAATAACAAAAAGTGTGAATAAAGTCTGTTCTTGATCTTTTGAAGTTGCCTGATAAATTGTTGTGAAGGACAAGTTCCTTTCAATATCATTTTATCTCCTATTTGTGAACAAATTATTATTTAGAGTCAGGTCTTTTCTAATAAATTGCTTGATTTCATAAAACCATGATGTTCAAGAAAAGGTTCATCAGTTAATAACGTGTTAAAATTTGATCTTTTCCTCACACAAAGCTCTAGTGCAATTTATTCCAAGTCTTCTGAAGTCATTTAGACTCATTATACTTGTATGGTATTTTTTGCATCCTTTTTTTTGAAACTTGAGGTTTTGAATAGAAGACATGGACAGACATACGGTTTTGGAATGACATGACGGCGAGTGAATGATGCAAGAACGTTAATTGTAATTTGGGTAAACTATTCCTTTACCGACCAAAATTTGTTCTGTTATAAAGTGCAACAGTGCCTGACCACTTTTTCAGAGACCTTGGTTCTGGAAGTGTTTTTTTTTTTTCTTTTCGTAGGGATAAAAAAAAAGAAAGAAAGAAAAAAAAAGGAGATTTTCTTTTTCTTTTTTTTACTTTTCCTACAAGGATAAAACATTACAAGCAATAAAACAATAATATATATAATATGTATATATATATATATATATATATATATATATATATATAATATTATAATATATATATATATATATATATATATATATATAAATATATAAATATAATATAAGTTTATTGCAAAATATGCATATGCAATTAAGAATTTTAAGAGCATAGGGAGATAAAAATAAATCGAACCTCTCTCTAAAGGCCCTTGCACACCGAGTCCAAAATTTTCGTATGCGTTTTTTCGTATTCGTGATTCGGTGGCTCTGAATTGTCAAAACACCATTCAAACTGCTTGTTACGGATGCGAAAAATGCAGAAAATCGAACCCGATTTGATTTTTTTTATGACAGATGAAAGTTTCTGAGGCAGTGTGCAAGCATGATTGACATAACGTGAGGTCGTATTTATTTTTTAACGTGTGAAAATTTTGGGCGCAAATTTTAGGGAGTTATCGGTAAAAATCTGTTCTGTTGAAAAAAAAGGGGGAGATTATTACTTCTAGAACCTGAATGTTTGAGTCTATACAAAAGTGTTGAATGAATGTTTTAGATATTTTGGCATCTTGGCAGATAAACTTAAGCAATTTTATTGATTTATTTTTTGCAGGATTTTTGTCCTGGTTCCGGAATGGTCTCCTGTCAACAGGGATCGGCGTTATTGCGTTTGTACAGAGTGATGTGGGCCGAGAGGCTGGATATGGTATTGCATCTCTTTCTTCTCAGTCCCTCTGTTTTGTTTTGTCTTTTCCCTCTCTGTCTGACTCAGACCTAATTCCTGTTCTGAAAGGTTTGTCCCTTTTGTCCCGCAGCGTTCTTCATCCTGGGCGGTGTGTGTGTGTCGTTCGGTGGAGCGTCATACGTGGTCAGTCTTCTGACTCTGAGGAGGATCATGCTCCTCTCTCTGCCCGCTGTGCTGCTCCACACGGCTGTGGTGTCCAGCGCTGCCCTCTTCTGGCTGTGTGCCGTATCGCTCTACATCGGCCGCCTGGAGGTGGAGATCATTCACGACGAGGATGAGGAAGAGCACGGGGGAGATGAAGGCGGGGAGTGCTCCGAGTGCAGAGCCCGGAGCGAGAGACGAGGGCCTGAAGAAAAAGGCAAAGACAAGTGAGATGAGAGGAGACTTTGAGTTGAAATGCCTTTTACACTGACCCAGAGCCAGAGTTATCTATTCATAAACTGCTTTAAGACAAAAGGCAACACTGAGTTCAGGTCGCTGTGGATTATTGACCCACTGCTTACAAAGGGACATAAATTCACATTTTTTTCCTCTGTAATATTTTTGTTGGTTGTGGGATGTGAGTGCTGGAACATTAAAATAAAAGTTCATTTCTTAACTAGCACTTGCCGGACAACTAGTTCAGCATCTTGGTTGTTCAACTGTAATAAAAGGGCATGTTCACTATTTTATATTAAAGTTCTGATATTTGTTTGGTAACACTTTACAATAAGGTTTGATTTTCTAGCATTAGTTAATGCATTAAGCACCTGATAATAACTATACAGCATTCGTTCATAATGTACTATTGTTCTTTATGATAATACATTCGTTCATGTTCATTTATAATGTATATCAATTAGAATGTTTTCAATTATATCTATAATTCAAATATAAATATCTATAATTATGACTTTAACAATGTATTTGTATCTGTAAATGAACATGAGTCAAGGTTAATGATGCTGTGACAATATTTGCATTAAATAATGCTATCAAACTGAACCTTACTGTAAAGTCTCCCAGCTTTTAGAATATGATCTGTTTTTCAACGGTACAGCAGTTTTCAACTTATTCTTTGAGATTTATTTGAAAATGATTACCTCACAATTCCCCTCAGATTTCCTGCTCTTGTCTTACTCAATAAAATCACTCCTTGTAGATTTGACAAGAACTTTTAGACTTCAACTTCCAACAGAGATGAAAGCTCGACTTATCTTTTTTTTTATGCATCTGAAGTATAGATATTGTGTTATTAGGATTTATTAGCTGTCTTTGGTGCGTCTATAATCCGATGAGGTGAGATGTGTTGTCAGGTGTGTGTGTGGACCACACGTGCTCATATACAGAGATTCACTCTACTGGAGTGTGTATATGTTTATCTTGAATTCAATGTTGAAAAAAAAAAATTAAAGTTTAATTTTGAAGAGTTATAACAAGCAAATGTCACCCATTCGGTGGAATGGCTCTAAAACGTAAATATTAGTTTTCTAAACATGACACTATGAGTGAAAATGACATTGAATTTTTTTAATGCCTTTCAACTCCATATAAATCATGACCAAAAATGTCCACATGGTTTTGACAGGAGATTAAATATTCCATATTGCATAGATATAATGTTAGTAAATTATTTGATATACATTATATATACTGCAAGTTTTGTGGTTATTCTATGCCTAGTTGGTAAAAAAAAAGAAAAAAGAATTAATTTAAATCATCATCAATATAAGTCATGACACTATCACTTTAATAAGTTTAGCTATTTTTTTGAGTCAGTTAGATGTAATTTTAGTTTAAATGACTCATACACATGCTCATACAGCCAATTTGATTGTAGGCAGCCTATTTAAAGATTTTAGGCATGTACCTTAAATGCTATGTGTTTAGCCTAATGTTTATTGTAGGCTATTGAGCGTTTTGCCCCATAGATTTCCACCACGCTAGGGGTTAATTAATTACAACTGTGAAATTGTAATGACAAAAAGTTGTTAAATGGTAAAAAGTTCAAACAAAACGTGAGTGGAGGTAGTGTGCGATGAAATCAAGGGCAGGTGGCGTCTCTGGAGGAAGGGATTCGCGGTAAACAGACAGACGTGTTGATCTGCACGCGTGTGCGGTTTGTTAATGGCGCCGGGGACTCGGAAACATGTGCGCTGCTTCTTTCATTAGTCGCTCCATAGATATCTATGAGTCGTTTTCCACTTCTGTTTGTACATCTTCAAAGGCATTTATTATATAATTTCATTATTGTCATCCAAAAAATTTTTTTTGTCGTTGTTGAATTATTGTCACTGGCTGTTGTTGCTCTCAAAGACCTTGTATGAGTCCTCAGAGAAATTATGGCATCTGTCGTGTTTTGTAATTTTCGGAAAACATTTAGAATTTTGTCTGGTTTTCGTTTTGTTTAGATTTTATTATCAGGTAGATGATTGTCTTTGCTATGTGGCTTTTTGAAGCCTGATTGGCTGATGTTCATACTTCCACCTCTGTCATATATCATTTCTGTTTTTTTAATGCATATTTATGTTAATGTGAAATGCAGAACATTCTATAAATGTGCACCTTAAAAACCAATGACATTCATTGTATGTTGATTGGGAGTGTTTATCACTGGTTACAGACTATTTGTTTATGCATGACCTTCAGTGCTATTTACAGTACATAATTAGTCTATGAATATGTACATAAACGGGGACTATGCAAGCACATTTGTCTCCCGCAATTTCTGAGAAGGACAGGTTTGATGCTTAAGGTGGCGTGAATTCAGCGCTCCACAAGGTGGAAATGTCATGTTAGTGGCCTTTGGAGGTTAACAAGCTGACAGTGTTGCAGAAGCTGTAGCTTTCCAATCGACACACTAGTTAAAGTAGTTTACAGTCCAGCAACTATTTTAATTTAAAGAAATTGTTACTGTAGATAAATGACAATTACAAGCTAAATAAACATACCATTTTTAAAGCTGCAGTCCGTAGCTTTTTTGGGTTAAAAATTATCCAAAATAATTTTTGGAGCAAAGACATAACCAGCCAGTGTTCAAAGCACAACCCACGTAAAGTTGAAATTGCAGATTTCGAACAGAGATGGCGACAAAGAGGAAAAACTGCGGACTGCAGCTTTAATAGATAGATAGATAGATTTTTACTGGCGAGAGGGCGGGGCAACCTGTCACTCACATGAGATCGACCAATAGCAAACCACAACCATCTAATCAGTTCCTCAAGGACAAAATCAAGTCTCACCCTACATTCGTCCCTACATTTATCTCGATATTATTCATAGAGAAGAAAACACTACCACAACTTCAGTTTAATGCTTCAATCAAGAAGCTGTTTAGAAAGCCGCTGAGCTACTACAAATAAATGCACACTTGTTCTGTCACTGCATTTAGTTATTTACTCCCCAACATCTCAAGAACAAATGCAATATGTCTGACGTTGTCCATGTTTTTCTTGCCTATTCTCCAACTCGTCCTAGTTCTCTGGTGTTTTGGTGCAGTTCGTTAGTTACTGATTCCATGCGTGTTTCAGTGCAGTTGGCCCGCGGTCTGTCTGTCTCTCCCTCAGCGCACGCAGCTCTGCTTCACATTCAGGGCATCTACAGGGGCCGCCACACGGCTAAAGGGCACAGCGCCCAAACACATCCCCACAAGCCAGACTTCACACACCTGTGTTACACAAACTGAGTTCATAAACGCACAGAGCTGCATCTCCATGATGTGGAACCGGTGTGTTAAACCGAACTTCATTTGTTATTGTCTTAACATGTCCATTTGCAACACAAAATCAGCGAAAACCACGATGTTCCCCCTATTTATTGCCGAAATGACCCATAAAAGAGAACTAATCCCTGTTTATAGGTCCGTCTGCTCTTAAGAGATGGCCGTGGAGGATATTTTAGAGGAGAAACTTCGGGTCGCAGTCGAGTTATCGTATGCGCACGCACACGGCCCGGCCATTCGCCTTTTCTTCCCAACAACTCAGCTTCTTTAGTATGCAATTCCTTTAGTCGTCAAGAGGGAATGATCCTCACACTAATGAACTGAGGCCTGCCACTTGAATGTAAAACAGGTTTTAACCCGTCTTCAATGTCAGAGCCCCTCCCTGGGGTTTCTTGAAACAACACAACACCATCGCTAACACCAGCACGCTCCACGTTTCAATCACAGCGTCTGCCTTTGTCTCGACCCTCCGGCCTATTACTCTGACAGCGGGCCGCTCACCGACTCCGCTTCAAAGACACAGAGCCAGAGTTATGAATCTGTACACGGATTATGATGAACGCCAATCAAAAGGCTTTATTGTGAGCGGAGCGGAAGAGTTGACAGAGTTGGGTAGCTTACATGTGCTCCCAGAGGGAGCTGTTGTTAAAGCAGCTTATCACATCAATCCGATCCATGTTCTTTCATCTTTCCTTTCTTTTCCTCTTCTTTTGAACTTGTTAACATGGACCGGTGTGGATTACAAAATTTACACAAGATAATAGTCGATTGTTAATCCCTTTTGAATGTTCACTTTTCAAATCCAAAAGCAACCCCCTTCACGTCATTCAAGACAGAGACTTCAAATATTTGAAAGTTTCCAAGCATGCAACTGGTGTACTTTTTTTGCCATTGTATTTTTCATGCTATTCTTAGGGTGTGTTTCACACTGCGTCTAATGCATACAGACTGTGGTCTTTAGGTGTCATTGATGGTGCGCCTGCCTCCCATAGGGAAGACACCGGTTCGAGTCCTGCTCGGAGTGGGGCGAATAGAACCGATTGGTGCCGTGACCCGGGTGGGATTGAGGTTTAGGGGGGTGAGTATAACGTTGGCCAGCTTTAGTAAGAGCTGTGCAGGTAAACCTCACTCCCCTGATCTCAACAGGTGTGTTAGCAACTGATGCTAGAGGCTGTGTTCTTTAGCATCCTTGTTAGTGGGCCCGCCTCCCATGCCGGAAACGTCGGATTGAATCCCGCTCGGAGTGGGGCGAGTAGAACCGATTGGTGCCGTGACCCGGATGGGGGTGAGGTTTAGGGGGTGAGTGTAACGTTGGCCAGCTTTAGTAAGAGCTTTGCAAGTAAACTTCACTCCCCCAATCTCAACAGGTGTCTTAGCAACTGATGCTAGAGGCTGTGTTCTTTAGCATCCTTGTAGTGGGCCCGCCTCCCATGCTGGAAACGTCGAATTGAATCCCGCTCGGAGTGGGGCGAGTAGAACCTATTGGTGCCGTGACCCGGGTGGGAGCCAGCTTTAGTAAGAGCTGTGCAGGTAAACCTCACTCCCCTGATCTCAACAGGTGTGTTAGCAACTGATGCTAGAGGCTGTGTTAGCATCCTTGTTAGTGGGCCCGCCTCCCATGCCGGAAACGTTGGTTTGAATCCCGCCCGGAGCAGTGCGAGAAGAATCGGAGGGGTTATTTTGGTATGGGAGAAACGATGAAGCTTTTCAAAGCTTTGAGACAATTTAACCAATTGCTTCGCAAAATTATTCACTGTTTCGAAGACTTCCAAACATCACAATGCTGCTGACTAAAATATAAAATATAATTTCTCAAATGCAATTAACTAATCACCTTATATCGTTGAATATAAGAGTCTATATAATATGTGTTCTTTTATCAATTTTCAGGTTTTTTTTAGTTTGTTCCATGGATTGCTCAGCTAAATTGGCCAGTGAGAGACTATTTACTACTATTATTCCTTTTAATTATCCAAATATCTCATTCAAATGAAAAAATGTATAAAACTGATCATGGAAAAACCATAGAGTATTTCAATGGTTCGCCACTGGGAGGCGATCTCAGTGAATCCGCATGATTCATGGGTTCCCTGAGATCACTCCACCCCACCCCACGGGTGAGCCATTCAAATTTTGAAACGTTTTGAACCAGTTATGACAATGAAGCCTCGTTTATTGAAAACACGTGGCTTTGGCAGTTTGATATGTTTCGAAGCTTCATGGAGCAGCGTTTCAAGGCACCATTATACATTGGTACATTATACATTGGTATACATTGGTGCCGTGACCCATATGGATCCCGTATGGATCCAGATCCAACTCCTACCACCTTAACCATCTCCTCCCCCTGATCCCTAACCCCACCCCTAATCCTACCCATCTCCACCCCTTAGATCTGGATCCAACTCCACCCCCTGGATCTCGTGTACTGCAATGAGGTGCTACTGGGCCAGTTAGTAAGAGCTGTGCGGGTAAACCTCACTCCCTTGGCCCCGAGAGGCGCACTAGTGAGTCCCCGACACTGCAGTCTTTTGCATCCTTGTTAGTGCACTCACTTCCCATGCCCGAAACTCGGCTCGAATCCCTCTCTGGTGTGCGTTTCCCTAAAAGCAGATATAGTCACAAGTTCCGTTGTTACCAAGCGAGATCAATGGAACTTGCGAACTAGTTGGTTAAGGATGCTTTTGGGAAACGCACTGAGTAGAGCTGGAGAGGTTACATTTAGTCTGTTGTATTGATATTTCAGTTCAACTGCACCAGAGTTTGTTTGGAAGTGGACCAAGGCTCATATTTCAGCGTTCAGAGTTATTCAAATGAACCACACAAACTGAGTAATCACACCAGAGTTTGTTTTAATTGAACCAAACATGCCAAGTGAGAACACCGCTTTAAAAGGGATATCTCTGTCAGAAAAGAATTATGGCATCATTTTATGTCGTTCTAAACCCGTCCCGTACTTACTTTCTTTTTTTGAAACACAAAAGCCTACATTTTGAACAGTAAGCTAGTGGAACTTTTACAGTGAATAAGGACCTTCAAAGCTTCATAAAGCTTAATATAAATGTAAAAGTACCATGAAAGTGGTCCATGATGAAAGTAATATATTCCTAGTCTTCTGAAGCTATGATTGCTTTGTGAGAGAATCAGAGTGAAATTTAAGTTGTGGTTGTTCTCTAAAACTCTTAAAATTATTCTCCTTGGTGCAAAAATATTGATGTGATGAATTGTGAACAAATTATTATTTTGAGTCATATACATTTTTTTAATTAATTGTTTGATCGGGTTCACAAAACTGGTCTAAAGTATGGGGCACTTTATGTTTTTTTGAAGCTTGGATGTCTTAGTCCCCATTCGTCGTAAAAAGAGTGACCAAAAATATGAGCGACGAGCAAAAAATGTGTCACAAATTATAATGAGTCATGAATTTGGAACATTAGTAAATAATAATTTATTCACCCTCATTTTGTCCCAACCCCCCTTTTAATTTCTTTATTCATGAACCACTGGCATTTGGTGACAAACTTGATGCATATTGACGGGTCGAGTTCGAATTTGCAGAGAACAAAATGACATGGCACAAAGAAATGCTCCATTATTGGAATAGAGTTTATTATTGTGGTTTGGATTATCATAATAATCATTTTTTACAGTGTATCATTTTCATTCAATGCTCATGGCGCTGTATTTTCACAAACATCTGATCATAAAGAAGTTAGAGTCACAGTGATGGCAAAGGTTAAAGAAACACCAACTCATGTGCTGATGTTTCACGACGCTCTCATCTATTTACACATTCATACTCACAATCACAAATACAAATAAAACCATCTCATATCATTTAATGCTACTGAAAATCATCATATCTGGTAATACTGCATGGGCAGAGAAACCCGCATACACAAGAAATTGAAAAAACAAGAAAAATGTTCACATGGTGAAGCTTGTATCTGCCCTCTTGTAATTAGCTATCTTCGGTGCGTTTTTGTAGAATTAAACAGGCATATTATGGGTTTATAAAGTACTAAATCGGTTACATTTTTTTTTTGACAAATTAGGATATTTTAATAATTATGCCTGTGAATTACATAGACCTTGGTGTTTGGCACCCTGACTCTGTTCCATAATCTAGTGAGCATGTTGCTAACAGTACTTTAATGGGTACATACAGTATATACTGTATGCACAAATATTGAAAATGAAATGAGATGCTATCTTAGAATCTGTTCAAAATAAGGTTTCTTAGTTTTACTGTCTATGGAAACATGCTGTAAGATGCATTGCTATGCTACTAGATTAAGGAACAGAGCTCCTGTGCCTCAGCTTTACATAGACGGGAAAATCCTACAATGTCCAGGTCACATTTAATCCCAAACTCAAAAGACAAAAAAATTAAATTATATTTTGCAAAAAGAAAATTAGCATATTTCATTAGGTTTTATTACAAAGCCTATTTTTAGGAACACGTTCCTTGCGGTATTATCCTATCCGCGCATTCTGTAACAAATCCTTCCCCCACGGGTCAAAATGACCCGAAGTGCTAAAATGATACTTTTTTTTTAAATATATTTTATTTTTTAAATAATTGTTTTTGGGAGATTTTTTTATTTTGTGTACCTTTAAATTAGGTTTTTATCAATAAATAAAAAATTTAAGTACATTCTTCGCATTCTTTTCAACTCAGATCAGCTCAAAATATCTCACATTTGGTCAATTTTGGTGTCTTTGCTGACCAAAAAAAAAAAAAAAAAAAATATATATATATAACATGATATTTCACCATATCACTATATGGAGCAAATGAGCTATTCCGCTGGGTCCTAAAGTCAGTGCTTGAGGGTATCCCTTCAACATGCTTTCAAATGTAGACATTATTACATCATTTTTGGAAAAGTTTTAGCATTTGTAGTTTTAATTTTGAGCATTTTTTAGGTTTTTCTATGTATACTTGAGCATTCCTCGCATTCCATTCATTCCTAAGGGGTTCGAATTGACCTGCGAGGGAAGGATTTATTACTCTTTTTTTTTTTTTTTGTTACAACCACAAACTCTCAACTCACAAACAACATGTCTATCCCTCCAATGAACACTCAATTGTAAAAACATTTTTTAAATGAGTTTGGGGTCAAAATGACCAGAGGAAATTAAAATTTTGCCAAATTTTCAACGTGCAATGCTATATATATATATATATATATATATATATATTTTTTTTTTTTTTTTGTAATTTCCATTATTCTCATTGGTGATTTTCATTAGATTATCATCACTGTAATACTAATTTTTACTGTATTACAGTCAAAAGAACATACTTTTTATTGCCCTACAGTAATGAGAATTTGGAGAGAATATGCTTAATTCATATGAAAATAATGTCACAAAATCATGTCAAGCAAAATATAATTTCTTTTTTTTTTTTTGAGTGAAATGTGACTTGGGTTTAATAAGGTTTGTGATATTCTTCCAATTAGCATTTTATTTTTTTTTAAATAAAACATTACACCTTTATATAACAGGCAATGTTCTACACACTTCGGTTCCCAGAATCTTCACATTTTGCCAAAATTTTCACATTTCTGCCACAAAAGCTGTAAACGTAATACCTGTGGTTTTAGAATTAGAATGTCTGGCCATGGATGAAGTGCTACATGTATGCAACAATATACTATAAGTGCTTGGACATGATACATGACAAACAGACACACTTAACCACACCACCCCGCCCACAACCCCCCCAAAAGCCCCCAAATTTCTTATAGGAAGATTAGGCCATGATATTTGCTCATGACTTGTGGGAAAAGAAAAAAAAAAACATCTTTTGGGGCCTTTGCACGTATGAAGTCTTTCAACTCGGTGTTGTCTACATATGGCTATGACCTTGAATGTATCATTTTCTTTTTAGATGTTTAAAGACAATTCTTTTCTTTTCTTTTTTTACAAAAATGAAAATTCTACACTGTTCAAAATTTCTAATCTTTATTTTCACTGCGATCCCTCTGTCAGTCAAGGACCTGTGCACTGTGCTTTCTTATGTATTTCCTTAGGAATGTCTTATTTGGGAATTTCCGCCATGCTACTCTAGTCCATACTTGCATATTCCTGTGTGGTTTCTTAAATTCATTGGGACTTGGAAAATATATATATAGGTGGGCCCATGTCCTGGGGGCCAAAAAGGTTAGTAGTACAAGCAACGCGCGTTTCTAATCAAAGAGCCTCCTACCCAATGACGGTCCTGTATATTCCCAATGGTTCGGGCGTCAACGATGATGAAGTTGCATGATGTCCTTCATATGTTCGGTATGGCTTTGACTGCTTGTCCAGAGAGAGGAAGACACACTAACAAAGTAACAGGAAAGTCCGGAGAGGATACTGGGAAGACTGTTGACCAACCTCAAGTTCTTCTGTAGTTCCTCTCTCAATGTTGTGCCGTCCTTTACAATCTCTTCCGCCTCTCCTTTACATATGTCTTTCTCCCTCAATCCTCATCTGTCCCTGCCGCCCCCCTCAGTCCGTTCATACAGAAGGGCAGAGATGGAGGAAAGGTGGGTTCGGCTGGAGAAAAGCCGCTAAAAGGAGGCAGAGACGCGATCCTCTGCAGGTGTGGAAAGAAAGCGGGAGTTTTGACCACGTGGTCCGAGTGGTGCCCGTCAGCGTGAGCTGTGGGCATCTCAGGTGGGGCGTAGCGGATGGTGCTGGGAGCGTAGAGACTCTGAGGCCCCTGTGGGCCAAGAGCCAGGGGGTGAAAGAGCACACGTCCCGCAGCCCCACTCGCAGTCAGTCTCTGCAGGAGCTCGAAGTCTGGAGCGCGCCCCCCGTGGATGGACCGTTCATCTCTCGGCAGGGACGAGGCTAAGATGGGTGGAGACAGAGTCGGGGACGGGGGGTTGAACAGACCCTTGGGTGGAGCTTCTGTTGGAGGTTGGGAAGGTGGACTGCTGCCATTGGTTCCTACACCACTGTGCTGAGGTTGGCTCCAGCGCCTCCCAGAACCTGCACCAAGAGTTGTTCCTATCACTTCTTGTTCAGTCTTAATATTGGACCCAGAACTGGTCACCACGCTCTTAAGATGCTGGATCACAGCGCGGCCGTTGTGGATCTTTCCTGCTCCGTTGGCCCCATTGCCTTGTTTGTTGTCTTCGCTCTTCACCCGTTTGCTGGAGGGGTTGTGGTCCCACTCGCTCACTCTCTCATCGTCCTCTTCCACCTCGCTGTCGCTGGCTTGGTCCGAGGAGGTACACGGGCTGTCTTCTCTCTGACGAAACACTTCAATCCGCCTCCTTACCTCGGGTGGACCACTTTCAGGGTCAGACTGGTGCGATCTCTTCCTGGTGTTCTCCGATTGGCTGGCAGCAGTGTGCGAAAAGGGTTCCTTCCCTTTGTGGTCTGTCTCGGCCCTGCCTTTCAATGGCTGTGTCGCCGTGGAGCCTGGAGAAAACACAAGTCTGCTGATTCGGGCTGTTGAGTAGCTTATTACCAGTGTATGGATAGATAATTGTGTGTGGGACTAAGAGCATACCTTGTGCCTTTGGAGAGGTGTCACGTGGGGAGGAGCTCGCTTGAAGCCGTTCTGCCCTCAGGCTTTCTGGGAGTTGTGATAAGTCCAGAGGCATGTCTGCCAGCTCTGTTCGACTGAAAACACAGATAAAAGAGTGCAAGCAGTTTACCTTAGGGAGCTTTACACATTTGACAGTCTAAATGCTAAACCCTGTGCCACAGGTTAACAGTAATTCTCCAATCATTTAGTATGGTTGAATCACACAACAGGAGGTTGCACTATATGAGGTACTGGTACCTACCTACATCATATAGAGGGAATGCAATGACGTCACTTTCCCGCCGGAACAAGCCTGACTGAGTGGCAAAAGATCTGCTGCGTGACTGGATTAAACAGGGGAAACTGCGAAAATGCGACTAAAACGAACAATTTGATCAATTTAAACTAAATGTTGGACTCAATATAGTGTTCCTTACAACTTACTAAAGATCCAGTGATCCATGGATGTTGACATGCAGCCAGGAATCGTGTTGCCTGACATTTATGTTTGCCTGATTTCGACACCGGGGAAATAAAAGCAATATAGACCTAAACATAAAGCAAATTTACCTGTGAACGCTTTAAATACAATATAGCTAGGTCTAAATCTGGGTGATCACTTATATCAGTGTTATATATAGCCTATATATATATATATATCATCATATCATCCAGCCCTAAAACTTATAGATTTGTTTTTGGTCAGTGTTTATTAAAAAAAACATCCAATAATGCAGAATATGCAATGATAAATATTTAATTGATGAGTTGTTAATATATATATATATATATATATATATATATATATATATAACAATACAAAATATATGGGTATGGTTTTACATCTTAATTCAGCATATTGACACAAATGATAACTGCAAATCCACCTTTCGCTGACTGGAGTCCAGTTGTTTCTGTGAATTGCAGCGATCCATTTGCTCCTCTTTCTATAGCAGTCTGTAAAAATATACCTCAGATTTTTTGTCAAATTTAGTTGTACAGTCAATCGCAAAGCTCGTTCCCACTTAATATGTGTTGTGTTTGTTTTTTGCGGCATTCACGCTGAAAACAAATACAGCCGCTCAGTCTTTTTGCCACTCACTGTGAGTAACTGCAGGCACTCCGGCCAACGGTGACTTCACGCGCATACCCTCTATAAACACTCCCAACACAAAGGCTTTTCCAACAGACAGGCGACAGTATTAAACTAGGCATGACATGATCTTATTGTGAATGATTCACCCATGCATGCATACTTTTCATTTTTTTCTCCAACTTTAATTAAAATAACTTGTTTGTCAAATTCTAAGACAGAATCTCATAGATCAACCTGTTACACAGTGTGTTTATATGTTGACATTTTTTCCGCATTTTGTTGAAGTTAATGTATGCTCCAGCATTTGTCTTACTTTTTTGAAATCATCATACAGCACAATTGGTGAAATATTGTTTTTAATTGTGCTCGGTAAATATGACGGTGATATTGAGAAGGGAATCCGGGAATGTTTTGCAACAAAATCAATGAAAAATGTATCAAAGATGGCAGACAGATAAATATAAATTAGTTGTATTTGACCCAACATTTGTGTGTTATGTATTTTATACTTAAATCATTGTTGGCTTAGCAACATATGCTTATACAAAAATCTATTGAGATAAATTGTAAAAATAACCGAGTCTTGTGCTGTTGTGCTAATAAATGACCTTTGCTCACTAGAAAGTTCCAAATCAGTCACAGGTTTCATGACGGTTAGGAAGATTATTGAACATACCTATAATAGAGTTTCCTTCTCACAGAGAATAACAGTGTGAAATGAGAGGTACTCACTCATGATAACGCTTCCAACACACACACCAGAAAAGCCCTTCTGAACATGACTCAAGCAGGGTGCTATAGAAGTTAATTAGCTATCGTAATTACAAAGCTAATTAACTAAAACACCATTCAGCCAGAAAATTTTGACATCCATTTGGTGTAATTATATATCACCAGTCCAATTATCACTGAAATTCAGCCAATTTTTTTCTTGTTTTTGTCTGACTTCTTTGAACGTGTGTGCACTTGTGTGATGAAGATTACTGTAGACAGATGGAGAGGAAGAGCGTTTACAAGAGCCACTGTGGAAACTCTCATCACATTAACATATTTTTTTTTTTTTGTACTGAACCGCAACACTCAAAAACACAAACACATAAGGTCACAAAGAAGCTGACCTGAGAACATAGTTGACCCAGATGACGTTACGCTCATGGGGCGCTTTGTGGTTAATGGACACGGTGGCACAGGACTGAATCCACAGATACCCTCCTCTCTTCTGCAGCCACCGATAATACCCCGTCACAACCTGCCCTTTCCGCAGCACTAAGAGAGAAGGAAAAGAGTTAGTAAAGGAGTGACATTAAATATAAGGTTTGAATATCTGAAAACCACAATACATTTCTTAACCCTGGAAGTGGAGAACAGTTACACAATTTGTTTATTTGGCTAGGGGGCGATGTTGTCAAAATGTAAACAGCAGCTTCAGGCTCTTAAACTGTCAAAACAGATACAACTGTTCTTTAAATGTTGACCTGTTCAAACAAACATTTTCTTTTTCCATTCATTTTCTACGGAGGCGTATTGCATTCACTTGAAGAAAAAAAAATCTACTCTGTTTTTCCGAATTAACGAGTTCTTTTTTCATGAGAAAAAAAATTTGCTCTGTTTTTCTGAATTAATGAGTTAATTTTTCATGATAAAAAAAGTTTTTGCTCAGTTTTTCTGAATTAATGAGTTAATTTTTCATGGATTTTTTTTTTTTTGCTCTGTTTTTCTGAATTAACGAGTTAATTTTTCATGGACATTTTTTTTTGCTCTGTTTTTCTGAATTAACGAGTTAATTCAGAAAAAACAGAGCAAAAACTTTTTTTCTCACGAAAAATTAACTCATTAATTCAGAAAAACAGCAACAAAAAAAAAACTCCCATGAAAAATTAACTCGTTAATTCAGAAAAACAGAGTAGATTTTTTTTCTTCAAGTGAATGCAATACGCCTTCGTAATTTTCTCACAAAAGATCTTCGTATTTCCTTATGGTCCTACAGTGCATTACAGGTAAATGATAACAGTTTGTTGGTCATTGTGACGAGATAAAACCCAAAGGCGTGATCAAGTTCATGACATGAAATGCATACTTACAAAAAATAATTATAAAAGAAAATGATGAGCTGTGTAGGCTTACAGTCTTCATGGCTCAGTCTGATGGTGTCCAGGTCTTCCGCATGGATAAAGTTGTAGCAGGTTTGGCCAACCACCTCAGCTGGGCTCAGGTCCATATACTCTGAAATCCTACAAAACCCACACAAGGACTCATTCACACTGCACCGAAAGAGAGCGACCATACCTCAATACAGTACATCACTTCTCAGACGATCCACGACCCGACATTCAACAGCGAGAACAAGCTCGGACAGACGCCAACAGTTGCGGTCGATGTGAATGTGAATTACTTCCATTTATTATGGCAGATTTATTAAATGTTTACTTTGTTTCACCTTATTTTACAGCACGTGTACTTACTCCAAAGTAGAGTCCGACCGATAAAGGATTTTGAAGGCCGATACCGATACAAATATTTGTTGGGTTTTAAAATCCGATATATCGGACGATATTTTTTAAAAATTATTATTATTTCAGAAACACGCCACAAAACATTAACAGATTTCCCTAACATTAGTTATTTGTAGTTATTTATGAGTTTTAACTAAAATAATATGATAATGCATTTTAAAAAGAAACTTGTTTCTTTTATTGTCACAACAGAACAGACTGATAATAGTGGCATTAGCTAGTTTTGTGGTTAGCTAGTCTATGATGAGCCATAATTTAGCAATGGATAACGTCATACTGCAAATTTTAAAACATACATTTTCAATATAACAGGCTAAGAAGAGATGATTCGTCTCATTGCTAAAACTGTCACACGCTATTAAAGAAATACTTCAGTCACATTGTCAAAAGTTAAAAGGACAGTCAGTCAACTACACTGTAATAAGGTAACGTAATTATTACTAGCTAATTCCGCTTCACTCTCGGCTTATTTAACAGCAGCAAAACTGGACATGATAGTCACAAATTTTGTCATGCTTATTTGAGTTAAGAGAACTGATGCGAATGTTCTTTTAATTGTTATTAAAGCAATGTATGTCTCGTGACCAACTCAACGAGTGTTGCCAACAGGGATGGTGTAGAGTGCCCTCTTGTGGACAAACTATACAACTCCAACACTCATGACATGGTTCAAACGCGTTTCGTCCGTTTTTATTTTATTTTTTAAATATTCATTTATCGGCCATTATAACTGCCAATACCGATAGTTTGGAAAATGCCTAACATCGGCCGTTAATATCGGCCTGCCGATATATCTGTCTGGCTCTACTCCAAAGTCCTGGGTAATATACGTAAGGTAACTACATGGCAATTACTATAATAAGTACATAGTATGTACATGCGGAACAGGACTGTAAAATAAAGTGCTATCGTTTACTGTATTAAATGTCAGCTTGCTTCACAGACACTGAAAAAGTTGGATTTGGAGTGCACATAAATGTTAATTTTCAAACATACTTTCGGACATGGAGCGCAGTTACTTTCTACAGGCTTGGGACACAGTGTTAATGCAATAAAATATGGTACATATTATTATTTACAATAATTATGGGCAAAACACTCTAGCTAGAGATAATGTAATTGAGACTGAAAGGCATGCTGGGAGGTTACCTGTTCTCGCAGTAGCTGATCTGCAGGTCCATGTTGACGCGGAAGACAAACATGTTGCTTTCCATGCGCACCTCATTCAGCGTGGAGGGCGGAAGCGTGTGCGCCAGGGCAACCAATCCCATTGGCCGATGCAAGGGGCGGGCGGAGCCTGGCACCAGGGCTGGCCGACACCGAATCCGACCTGTCACATGAATCACCTGAATTCACCGGAATTAAATGAGCAGTTCAGTTTATGAAATCATTCAAACAATCATAAAAATGATTAAATACTAATTTTCTAGTCAAACAGTGTTGTTTCTCTCCTCACATTCAGTTTCGCTTTGAATTTGTTTAGGCTTGGTGTTTATAATATATGTTGTTTATAATGAATGCCACTATAATTTGTATTTTATACTTAATATTTTATATTTACCGGTAGGGTTGGGTATCATTCGAATTTGAACGATTCTGATTCCAATTCAGAGTTTCGATTCCGGTTCCTGACGATTCTCGATTGCGATTCTTTTAAGAGGCAGGGTCAAAAAAGTTTAGCTAACCTTGCTAACCAATGGTATTTCTGAAGGAAATAATCATTTCTGAAGGAAATACTCCTTCTGTCACAAAAAATTAAAACAAATTTAGCATTTTGCCGAGATTTCGTTATTTTTAGAAAAGTGAAGCCACACTTTGGACCACCGACGCAAGCTACTCATGTTCGACTCGCGCGGTTATGCCAACACTTCCGGTAGACGCTTCTTCTTTGGTGTTGTTTCTGCGGTTTCTTCTTCCGCTCGGCGGACTGTGAATATCGAAACTAAGAATCGAAATTTTAACTTTTGAACGATTCCGGGAAAAATGAAAAGTTAGTCCCGATTCCAATCGATACTCGATTCTCGATACCCAACCCTATTTACCGGTACACAGAACAAGAATAAAAAAATATATGCAAAAGTTAAGGGGAACTTAAATTTGATTTTAAAATGTTACAAACATCATTGTGACTTATCTGTACTTTTTTTCTTTTAACAGTGCAATTTTGACCCATGCGACTTTATTTATGGAAAATATGGTACAAAAGTCATAGGCTATGTCCAAAATTACCCCCTATAAACTTAAATAGGGCACCATTTGATGCGACAGCCATTTTTAGTGGTGTCCGAAACCATAGTGGATGTTATCGAGCGCACTCGTTTAATCCAACACAATAACGAGTGAACAACCGATGCACACTCAACGGCTACAGTCATGCCGCGAATGAATTCCCGGTTCTGACCAAAAGTGGGCGAATCAGCTGAATCATCCATGCATCCAATTCCGTTTTTATTGATTATTAAATTGTTTAATTAAGTTTTATACATAGTTAGTTATCATAACAGAGTTCAAGATACATATTTTTATTACTACTGGAGCTTCCAGTTTACGAAGACTCACTTTATAGCCTGAGGATTTAACATGGAGGCCACGCTTGGTGAGGGTGGATTTCATCCGGATGAAGAAGCCACGTTCTGAAAACTCTCTAACTGGAGAACAGGGGCTGGATGGAGCTACACGGGAAAACACACAACACAAAGATGAACCTTTAAACAATATTTCACAGTCCACAGATCTGATATGACAACAAAAATTAGCAGTTGAAAAGCCAGAACACTCTCATGTCAAATCCTAACTAGTCTATGTTTTGGCGATTTTGGCAAAAGTGTTAATTCACCAAAAAATGAAAACTGTAATCATACTCACCCTCATGTCATTCCAAACCTGTAAGACTTTCTTCTTTCATCCTCAGAACCCAAATAAAATCTGATAGTTTTCTATCCCTACATTAACAGCTACCCAACTAATATTTTGACGCTTCAAAAAGCTCAAAGATCGTAAAACTAATCCATATGAATTGAGCGGTTTAGTCCAAATTTTCTGAAGAGACTCGATCACTTTATAAGATGAACAGGTTTAATTTAGTCTTTTTCACATATAAACATTGATCAGCAAACATAAAGAGAAGCTCAAACGAACATTCTTGACGCGCGAGAACAAACCTCATTGGTTCTTGCTGACAACACAAGAATGAGCTTCATTGGTTCTCGCATTTCAAGCAAACATGCTTCTGTTTACCACAACTAGTGTGTGAGCCGAGATGGTGAATATTTATATGTGAATAATATAAATAGCCTAAACCTGAATTAAATCTGTTCATCATATAAAGCGATTGATTCTCTTCAGAAAGTAAATAAACCGCTGAATTCATATGGATTAGTTTAATCTCTCTTTATGAACTTTTTGAAGCGTCAAAGTGGTAGTTGCATCATGGCTGTTAATGGAGTGACAGAAATCTCTCAGTTTGTGTTCTGAAGATGAACGAAAGCCTTACAGGTTTGGAACGACATGAGGGTGAGAAATTAATGACATCATTTTTGGGTGAACGAACCCTTTTAAGGTTAGGAGTGGACCTTCTTTTATTTAAAAAAAAATATATTATAGTGTTAAATAACTCCATTTGTACAAATTTATATGAATTTGTCAAAACATAATCGGTTATGTTTTTTCATGAGTTTGGGTTGGTGAAGCTCAGAACAATCAATGTTGAGAAATAAGCAGGAAAGAACTATAATTTTATTTTTTCCCGTGGTCCACTTATATTTAATATTTGTCAAGGTTGTTAGCACGCAAAGCAGTGATATTTTTCCACCCTCTCTGACCCTTAGAATTAAACAAGTGTTTTTTAGCTGCTACACTTTAAGCCTTCTATGCAAATACCCTCTTGACAATGAGAAACAGCACTCTGCTGTAAAACAGCTGGTGTTTTACCCAGGATCAGCACAAGATCTGATGGGTTTTGGTGTGCCAACACTGAAAAGTGTATGTGGGTGATCATGTGTTAAAATGTACACTAATGATCAAAAGTTTTAGATCTGTAAGATTTTTTATGTTTTTAAAAGAAGCCTCTTCTGCTCACCAAGGCTGCAATTATTTGATAAAAAAAAATAAAAAAAAACAGTAATATTGTGAAATATAATTACAATTTAAAACAGTGGTTTTGTGAATTTTGATATATTATTTATATATTAATATTGGTATAGTGAAGTGTAATTTATTCCTGTGATCAAAGCTGAATTTACAGCATCATTACTCCAGTCTTCAGTGTCACATGATCCTACAGAAAGTATCATAATATGATGCTCAAGAAACATTTATGATTATTATCCATGTTGAAAACATTTTTTTTTAACATTTTTATTGCAGGATTCTTTGGTGAATAGAAAGTTCAAAAGAACAGAATTGATCTGAAACGGAAAGCTTTTGTAACATTAATAACTACCATTAAAAAGTGTGGGGTCAGTATGAATTTATTTTTTATTTTTGTGGGAAAGAAATTAGAAAATACTTTTATTCATCAAGGATGAGTTAAATTGATCAAAAGTTACAGTAAAGACATTTATAATGTTAGAAAAGATTTATTTTAAATGCTGTTCTTTTGAACTTTATTCATCATAGAATTTTGGGGAGAAAATGGTACACGACTGTTTTCAACATTGAAAATAATAATTTATGTTTTTGAGCATAAAATCAGCATATTAGAATGATTTCTGAAGGACCATGTGACACTGAAAACTGATGTGTAATCAGCAACAGTAATGATGTTGAAAATTCAGCTTTCAAATTACATTTTAAAATATATTAAATATAGAAAACAGTCATTTTAAATTGTCATAATATTTCACAATATTACTGTTTGTCATTTTTTTCATCAAATAAAGCAGCTTCAGTGAGCAGAAGAGACTTCATTTAAAAACATAAAAAAAATCTTACTGATCTAAAACTTTTGACCGGTAGTGTATATATCTTATTGATGACAAAAAGTTACTGCCGCGCAGTTTTCAATGCATGATTTGGGTTCTGAAAGTTACAATATACTTTTAGAGTCTCCATAAATGCCAAAATATTGAGGAAAAATGTAAGATAAATAAAGCTAGACATCTAAAGGAGCGTTACCTGGTTCTGGAGTGCCAGCCAGTGAGGAAGCGGAGGCGGAGCTTGAAGCACTCTCATGGGACGTCTGACAGCCTGCCTCGGCTCGGAGGTGTGGCCTAATGCCAAGACGCTCTGCCATCTCGACATGATCCGCAGGGTGGATGTAATCGAACACGCTACTGCCAGTCAACTCCACCTGAGTAGGCAGATACACACATACATACACATGCATACAGATCAATACATTCATTTAAGAAACATGACATAGATCACAACATATTGGCTAACAACCAATGAGACCTTGAAAAAAAGATCGTCTATAGCTATTCCTACATATGTAATGCGTACTGTATAAAGCACACACATATTCCTAAACCATTACACTGGGGAAGCAAACATCAGAGAGAGATAAAAGCAACGCTACACATAAAACATTAATTATAGTGTACCATAACCTCGAATGAATATTCTACCTGCTGCATCTAACTCAAAACAGGAGAGCTTCATAAAACTTAAATCACAACCATGTATAGACTTAGTGTTATAAAAATGAACAAAAGAAAAACCTACAAATCATTCTTAAAGGAATAGTGGTCCAAGCTGCTCTTTATCATGTGAACAAAAGTGGAAAGGGGACCAAGATGGTCAAGATGTTTATGACTCCAAGGTCCCCCATTGTTAACTACAATATTCAGGGGCCCAACATTCCTAGTTTTAGTCAATTTAATTTACAGAATAATTTTTCATTTTAAGCTTCCCACTCTTTTTAAACAACGCATTTGCACAGCTCTTCCAGTTTGTTCATGATTTAATGGATAATATGATCTAAGGATGAGGATATTTAAATATACTTTGTCAATTTCGAAAATGCTTAGAGTTTGACTTTGACGAAAAATAAATATTCATTATAAAAATTAATTTATCGCAATTAATCACATCCAAAATAAAAGTTTGTGTTTACATGTATATATTTAAGAAAAATGTGTTATTCATATATAAAATATCCACTTAATATAAAGTGGGACCATATATATATATATATATATATATATATATATATATATATATATATATACTATATATATATATACACACAGTATATATATATAGTATACATAAGCAAATATTTCTTAAATATATACATGTGTGTGTGTGTGTGTGTATTTATATATACAAAATAATTATACACAGTTCACACACATGTATTGTACATGACTTCATCCAGGTCTAGAAATCACACTTTTAAAATTAGGCTACGTAAATGTATCCAGGTTTTCCAAGAAAGTAGGATGCTTTTCAAAGAAAAAATTAAGAAATATCTTGATTTGTATTTGCTTTACATTATTTCAATGCCTCTTTTTTCCATTGGACTTTTTGAACCATATTGGTCCTCTTTCAACTTTTGGTAAAGAGCAGCTCGGACATATGCTTTTTGTGTTCCACAGAAAGAGGAAAATGGGTTTGAATCACTATATCACTTAATTTCTATAACATTGTTAAATCTATACATGGTTGGTGTCTTAGGTTTTATGAAGCTCAACTGTTTTGAGTTTCTTATACAATTTGTAAAAAGTAGCAGGTAGAATAAATTACATTTAAAAAAGTTAAAAAACGCTGTGAATGTGAAGTTTGCTGAGGCCATGTGATTTTTTACTACATAATGTGGGTTTTTAATTATTATTGCAAGCATGAAGAAGATTTGACAGCAGTGACAGAAAAAAAAAACAATTTAAATTTCTTTAAAATATTTTAAAAAAAAAACATTTTATAAAAAACATTTTATATTTAAGGCTTTAGAGTAGACGAATACAGAAAGGATTATATGGACTTCTGTTACTTTCCTGTTACTTTTAGAGCAGACTTGTGTCTTTCAAACAAAAATAGAGCAGCCTGGACATTCTGCAAAACAGATCATTTTGTGTTGCACAAAAGAAAAAGGCATACAAGATTGGATTCAGAAGATGAGTACAAGATAAGAGTTTTTTAGTAAGGGTTAAAAATGGTGTAATTTGCATTTCTGCGACTCCTGAATCTATAAAAAAAAAGTCATCTGTGTGGGTCAGATTTCATTCTACAGTATCCTGATAAAAGGCCGGTTTCTCCCTCACACCCTTGTCTGTGGGACACAGCCATTTATTATGGGATTAGATCCATTTACGGAGGGATTTTAAAGGATTTTCCGCTGGCCGTCAAGGACACTAATGTGTGTGTGCAAGGCAGGTTGCATGCAAACAGAGGGAAGAGCAGAAAGGAGACGGTGGATGAAAAGCGGGGCTGTGTAATTGGGGATCAGTTGAGGGATGAATTGAGAAGAGTCTGGGGTTTTAAGCCTGTGTCGGCTAATTGAGAGGTAAAGGTGGAGGTAAATCCAGCAGACAGGTGGTCTGGCTTGGAGAAGTTAATCTGGTCCACAATGCCTTGGAGAGGGTTGTTTAGCTTGTTCGAGTGGCGCTGATGGGATCTCATATTTTTGGAAGCAAGTAGACACCAAAGGTGCATGAGGGAGCTTTTGGGAAATCTCAGTTAAAACGATCCACTGGAGGACACTGGGTCTGTAAGAATGAATGTAATTGTGGAAAAAGCATGCACTGTAGATTATAGGGGGACTAGAATAGCATTGGCAAGACTTATTTACTGCAATTAATCTGATCATTTGGATAATTAATTTCAAGGTACCAGTTTTTTAAAAACGCTTTCACTGTCAACACGGTCATAATTGAAAATTAGAACCGAAATTCTCTTGAATTTAACCTGCAATATTCATTCATATATTTCTTTTTATACATAAAAATATATATATTTTTATTTCAAAATATATCTTTTATTTTTAATTCATTTGAAATGGCCCATAGTATCCATTTCATTGCATTTTTAAGAGGTTATGTCATGTCAGAACAGTGACGCTTTAAAAGTAAATCTCAAGACACCTGCATTGTTGCTCTCCATCTTGCCGTTTTTGAAAACAAAAACACGTCATGTGTGAACGGCTCCTTGATAATTCTGTGCTGTTGCCTGTGTGGCGGCCTATAGTAGCGTGTCGGGCCGCTCACAGGACACGTTCTTGCATTCAAAATCAACAAGATGCAGAGAAATCGACTGCATGTGACTTTTAAGTGTAACTGTGTTTATCTTGGCAGTCGTGCTCATGATACAACACAGATATATATACGACTATAATATATATATATATATGACTATAAAATAATATATAAATAATAAATAAATAATATATAAAGATTTTTCAGCTGAACATAACATAACTTGCAATGTGCGATCTGATCTGACTGAGAAGTAGTAGATTTAAACGTCAATAAAGTCCTTTATTTAAAACATTTACATTTGGCCAGAACAATTGCGGTAGATGTATTACTATATCCAGATGACATTTTTTAATGATATATGGCAAGTAGGACGCACTTTTTGTAATGTCGATGTACTTATTGTGATGGGCGGAAGTGGCTCAGTGGTTCATGTAGATCAGGGGTGCCCAACCCTGCTCCTGCCGATCGACTGTCCTGCACAGTTCATCTCCAACCCTAATCAAACACACCTGCCTTTACTTTTCAAGTGATCCTGAAGACCTTAATTGGTTGCTTCAGGTGTGTTTGATTAGGGATAAACTGTGCTGGACAGGGTTGGGCACCCCTGATGTAGATTGTCTAAGGTTGGTGGTTCAATCCCTGGTTCCACCTGACCAAGTGTCGAGGTGTCCTTGAGCAAGACACCTAACCCCAGCTGCTCCTGACGCGCTGGATGGCGCCTTGCATGGCTGACATCGCCGTCGGTGTATGAATGTGTGTGTGAATGGGTGAATGTGATATGTAAAGCACTTTGGTGGCCATTAGGTCTATGAAAGCGCTATATAAATGCATTCCATTTACCATTTACTGTACAATCACCAGGTTTGCCAGGTCTGCGCAACAAATCAAATCAAATCAACCAGCGGCAAAAAAGCCCAACTCCAGATCAAAACACGTGAAGAAGCAGAAACAAGCGATAGCATATGTAAAATAATGCAATCATCAACATTAAACAGCCTATAAACTGCAAAACAATGTTGCTGAATGAAATGTCGACCCAGGACGAGATATAGGACTGTTCAAGCTTTAAGGGTGTTCGATCTACTCTACATTTGTTTTGATTATCGTCCTAAATTCAATCTATGAAAAAAACATCAAAATGTTCAAAATGTTGCTTTTTTATGAAACTTAATCACATTCAAGTGTTGATAAAAAAGAATCCAGTATAAATATAATTCATACTGTTTAAAAAATATAAATATATATAAATATAAATATATAAATATAATATCAAACATATGAAGAGTTCAGATGCAAAAGCCTCTAAATGCCATTTGAAATTTTCTTCTTTAATGATGATTTTTATCAAACTTGTATATTTAAGTTCAGTAATTTCACTTAAATAACAATTAATAGGTAACTATCATTGCCATTTAAGTGAAATCACTGAACTTAAATATACAAGTTTGATAAAAATGAGAAACAGAAGAAGTGAGAAAAGGTTGTTGGTAAGTGTTAAGAAGAGGGTTAAGAAGAGAGAGAGAGAGCGGGAGAGAGCAAGAGAAAAGACATGATATAAATAATAGCTGGGATTTAATATGTATGAGGCGTCCGGGCAGTTGTCCACAACACTCTCTCAGTCTGCTCCTGACTGATGGGAGAGGAGCAAGAGAAGAGGACGAGGAGGAGAAAGAGATGGGGAGGAGGCAAGGTGATGGGTCTGCATACTAATCAGCCCAGGATCAATTTCCCACCCCATACGCCCCTCAATATTTCCCAGATGCTGTGGCTCTGGCCGTGGAGAGGAGACGAGAGGCTAAGCTCCTAGACCTCCATCTAGGCCTGAAGCTTTGGCTTCTGTAGGGCAAGCAGTCTGGAGGCAGGCGTATCATCCCGCTTTCAAGGTTCCTGACCCTGGTAATCCGCCTAAGGAACCCTACTGTCTTTTCAAGAGGTCACAAGGATTAACCAGAATGGATCGCTCTATCTATGATGGCGTGTCATGACCTCTGACACAAGGTAACAAGTGGGGTTTTGCGCTTACAGTTAATGTATTTCCTCCTGTTTTGACCTTTAGAGACCCAGACAGATGCCGGAGTGAAGGACCGTGGCCGTGTAAACTCGACCAGACAACAATAGAGTGCTGCAGTGATGGGATATTTTTGTAGACCAACCTGGAAGTTAGCATCACATTGGTTTACCTCGACAGAAACCCCAATAGGATTTTTGGTCCCACTTTATATTAAGTGGCTTTAAGTACTATGTACTTACATTGAACAATAAGTAAAATGTGAAGAGTTCAGATGCAAAAGCCTCTAAATGCCATTTGAAATTTTCTTCTTTAATGATGATTTTTATCAAACTTGTATATTTAAGTTCAGTAATTTCACTTAAATAACAATTAATAGGTAATTATTAATCATCATTAAAGAAGAAAATTTCAAATGGCATTTAGAGGCTTTTGCATCTGAACTCTTCATGTATTATTGTGTTCTTGTTGAATTGTAAAACACTTTTGGTGCTATTGAGGTGTGATACGGGTAAGGTTAGGGACAGGTGTGGTGGTATGGGTCGGTTTAAGGGTAGGTTAAGGTGTGAGGGGAGGGTCAACTGTGTAATTACAAATGTAATTACATAAAGTAATTATAGCTGTAGATACATGCTGGTATTTAAAAACATGTATGAATACAATGAGTCCATTGTATCAAATTATTAATTTCAATGGAAGTACATAGTACTTAAAGCCACTTAATATAAAGTGGGACCGGATTTTTCTATTGCTTTTGGATTGTCGCAAACAAATAAGCTCTGTGATCAACAAAATTTATGATACTGATCAAGACAACTTTCACAAATGAATTCTAAATAATAATATACGCACATCCAAAAACTTTAGGCAGATGCATGATCAGATAAAGAACAAACAAAAATCCCTTTGCCAACATTACCACTGCTGCTCTCAAAAATCAATTTAATTAAATATATCCAAATTAAGCCTCAATACAATTGCAAGAAATAAGGCTTAAAGGAGTACATAGTTCACTTTAAAAAGAACTTTTGCTGATAATTTACTCACCCCCATGTCCTCCAAGATAATGTCTTTCTTTCTTCAGTCGAAAAGAAATTAAGGTTTTTGATGAAAACATTCCAGGATTATGAAGTCCATTGACATTAGACAATGGACCTTTTTTTCCAGATTTTCTAGTGAAATATCACTAGAAATATGCTAATGTGATGCACCTTTAGAAGGTAGTTCCTTGTAAGCAGTGAGCATTGAAAACTTTACCTCCTTGTATTCACGAATCAGAATTTGTCAATAATAATACAGCAAGACGCCCGTAAAAGGGTTGACCACTCACAATTCCACTTGTTTTCCTCAACCAACCAAACTCATTCACATCTATTTTCCCTCCTAAACTCACTATCTATCTTCCCATCCCCCCTCAGACCCATCCGAGAGTGTGTTTGTGTGTGTGTGTGTGTATTCTTTTTTGCCACACAATCAATGGGGCTTTTAAGATGTCTATCGATTTGTTCCCGAGACAGACCCCGGCTCGCTGGAGCGACGCTTTGATTGCTGTGCGAGTAATTACTGTTATTATTTATGCATCTGGGTGAAATGGCAGGACTTAACATTCCCTGTACAAGAGGCCACAGGCAATCAACAGAGAGAAAGCACCTGGAGAGGCGAGAGAGAGGAAGAGAGCGGGAGAAATGAGCACGGGGACACAGGGAAATTCACAATACGCAAAAAAACACAACCATAGATGAACACAGATGAAAGTATATCGCTGGGGTTTAATAACATAAACTAGGGCTGCCAACCGATTTCCGATTTCAATCGAATTAGTTACACAATAGTTGTAACGATAACTGCATATTCAATATTAGTTAGATGCATATTGATCTTTCACACAACAAGCGCTTCATAACAACAACAAATAAAAGTGTTTTAAGTATATTCATTTTTAAAGTCAATAATTGCATCCCTTAAAACTAATCTTCGATAATCACAATGACATGGCTTAAAATAGCTTGAATGTAACTCTTGTACCCTTGCTTCATATAGTACATGGATCAATTAATATGCATATTAGTCCCCGCCTCCACTCAAAGCGGCTCAGACTACCTGATCCACTCGGTCTGTTGTACCGACACAAAGTGCCGAGTGGAAATATTGGTTCGATTCAGCCGTATATGTGAACTAGAAGCTGATTCAGAAGAAGAAATGGAAGAGTGAATTATACAGATTTGTCTGTAAGTCGATGTATCAGAATGTTAATGACTTTTATGTATTGCTATACGTCGGACACATAACGAAAACTGATATGATTAGCCTTTGGCTTGACTACATTATGAAACAGCTAATAGTGTGTTGCTCATGTTACACAAACCATGTTCCCATTCGCCATCTCAGAATCAATCAGCTGTCTTCTAAAAATCAGCATCCTTAAAATGCTTTAAACAAAGTAGTACATTCATAACATACATCATATACATAATTCACCAGCTACATTGCTAAATGTACCCAATTTTTCCCGTCCCTTCTGTTCATGATGGTAGGAAACAATGTTTTTAGGACTGTATTTGGTTCACTGCAGTTTTAAGGAGAAAATACTTAGCAATGGTGTTGATTTATGAATTTGCACATGATTTATCTTAAAGGAGAACTCCGGCGAACAATGAACCTTTGGTCTAATAAAACATCGGTACATAGTCAATCGTTCTCTGAGATTTGTTTTCATGATAATCGAATGTAAAGAGTTTTATCTCTAAAAACTGTTTTGTGTATAATGCCAGTAATGGGGGCATTGACTAAGTAAAAAGAAATCGCTAGTTTATACCACTAACAAGGCTCAAAATAGCCCCACACTAACGCAGTAGCATAATGAGACTCCATAGATACAAAACGAAGCATTGAGAACTTTGTAAGTGTACAGACCGTTTAATAAGAAGATACTTTATGAAGACAGTTCACTTCGTGTATACAGACAGGAGCCATCTTAAAAAATAGTCTCGATAAGTCAAACCACGAACGTCGTGCTGAGTGATCTGAGCTGTATGAAGTTCAGCGAACTTCTGAATTGTATGAACGGCGTTCGGGGATCGACTTATGTTAGTGGTATAAACTAGCGATTTCTTTTTACTTAGTCAATGCCCCCATTACTAGCATTATACGCTAAACAGTTTTTAGAGATAAAACTCTTTACATTCGATTATCATGAAAACAAATCTCAGAGAACGGTTGACTAGGTACCGATGTTTTATTAGACCAAAGATTCATTGTTTGCCGGAGTTCTCCTTTAAAATTTTTTTTTTTAAAAACCCACATAGACATAAATGACATTGAAGTGTTACCAAAATAATTAGTTACACTAAATGAACACATTACATTAACAGCCCAAGCATTAAGTACGCTACAATGTGTAAGCATTTCCGTCTCACCTGTGAAAGGCCAAGGTAGATGGACACAGTCTCTGAGATATACAGAAATCTGCCTTCTTGACTGACCACGAACACAAATCCATCCAGAGACTGCAAAGAGAAAAACACATCTGTAGCTGAAACTTTACATGTACTTTAGTATGTTACTCAACACATCAAAATAAGTGTGCTTCTTTAAAGCCTGCTAAAAATGTATTCAAACATTTAAAATGTACTATAAAACTTAATTTGGCATTATTACACAGTGCACTTTTGTGCAATCAAGTCGTGAAAATGTACTCTAAGTACACTTAAGTGAACTTATTTCATTAATATTGTACTATTTGCATTTATAGATTTTTAAAAAAATGCTTTCAAGATTTGAAGTACACTACAATACAATTAAGCAAACTACTTTTTCACAAGGATTGACTGTCCTACCTAAAAGTAAGTTTTGCACAACACTACACAATCACAGCCAGTCAGAATATCTGATGTTTAATGTCAATAATATGAAATCAATCGATTGAAATGGCTTTTTTTTCAGCTGATGTCATCAGACCCACTTATTTTCAATTTATTGTATTATTTTTCACATATAGACACCACTTTTCATGATGCAATGCCTAAATAAAATTTTAAAGAATAAAGTTTTCCCCACCTAAAAGTGAGTTTTACACTCTACACAATCACAGCCAGTCAGAATATCTGATGTTTAATGTCAATAATATGAAATCAAATGACTAAAATTACTTTCTTCATCAGCTGATGTCATCACTCATCAGACCCACTTATTTTCAATTTACTGTATTATTTTTCACATGTAGACACCACTTTTCATGATCCAATGCCTAAAGAATAAAATTTTAAAGAATAAAGTTTTCCCCATCATTAATTATCATCTTTCACTTAGAAATGTCACCTTAAGGATGTAAAATTGCTTGTAAAATTGGTTGTTTTATACAGCGTAGCAGAAATATGAGACACTTCAGTGGTTTAACACTTCAAACTTAAACTAAAACTAAACCCTGAACCAACAAAATCAATACTGTTGAACAAATCTCAAGATGTTTATGGAATCAAGTCTACGGCTGTAGACATAAGCATCGACTTCAAAGCGAAAACAACATGAGGCAAGAATCAAATTGATTTAGACAGAAACCACAACAGCTTCCCCTGACTTCAAAATAAACTGGTACACCAGAACAGCGCTTGACAGATAAAAAGCATACAGTCTCCCAATTAAAGGACTAATTTAAAGAATAATATTAATTGTAATAACACACAGGCACGAGTGAAGAAGAGTGGGCACTTTAGTTGAGAACGACGGATGTTGTTGCAGAGGTAATTTATGCGAGTGACGAGTTCACTATGCAAATGAGAGTGGACCTGAATGACGGGAATGGCGGAAATAAAGCGCAATTATCTAGTTATTACTGACAGAGGACGAGAGAAAGAATCATAAGGGTTTTTTTAGAAGTTTTAATTTGATTTCTATCAGCGCCGCCCCTCTTTGAACATTTTACTTTTGTCTGAAGGTAACCCTTCTAATAATAATAAAAAAATGTCTCTGACAAATTACTCTTTTTTTTAAGTCAGACAGCCAAATTCCATTACTTGCTCATAATTTTAAACAACAAGACATATTTACAAAAGCGACCTCAAACCAGTTCTGACACTACAAGACATTTATGCATGCACGGATGGAGTTGCATTAGGAAATGCAGCATTAGATACTGTAAAACCTGTAATATCATTACTATTTTTAATTAACTGTTTTCTTTTTCCTGTGATGGTAATGCTGAATTTTCAGCATCAATACTCCAGTCTTAAGTGTCACATGATCTTTCAGAAATCAGTCTAATATGATGATCATGAAATTAAATGAATTGAATAGAGGGTATGCGCGTGACGTCACCGTCGGCCGGAGTGCCTGCAGTTACTCACAGTGAGTGGCAAAAAGACTGAGCGGCTGTATTTGTTTTCAGCGTGAATGCCGCGAAAAATAAACACAACACATATAAAGTGGGAAAGAGCTTTGCGATTGACTGTACAACTTGATTTGACAAAAAAACGGAGGTATATTTTTACAGACTGCTAATTTTACAGACCGCTGCAATTCACAGAAACAACTGGACTCCAGTCAGCGAAAGTTGGATTTGCAGTTATTATTTTGTGTCAATATATGCTGAATTTAGGTGGAAAACCATACCCATACTGTATATTTTGTATTGTTATATATATATATTACCAACTCATCAATTACATATTTATCATTGCATATTCTGCATTATTGGATGTTTTTTAATGATCACCCGGATTTAGACTTACCTATTGTATTTATATAAAGCGTTCGCAGGCAAATTTGCTTTATGTTTAGGTCTATATTGCTTTTATTTCCCCAGTATCGAAATCAGGCAAACATAAATGTCAGGAAACACGATTCCTGGCTGCATGGCAACATCCATGGGTCACTGGATCTTTAGTTTAGTTAAGTTGTAAGGAACACTATATTGAGTCCAACGTTTAGTTTAAATTGATAAAATTGTTCGTTTTATTCGCATTTTCGCAGCTTCAGTCACGCAGCAGATCTTTTGCCACTCAGTCAGTGACGAAAGTGACGTCAATGCATTCCCTCTATAGTGTTTTAAACAGTTTCCACAAAAATATTAAGCAGCAAATAATAATTTAATTGTAACATACTGTAAAAAGATGCACATCACATGACTAACATTGATACCTGTAAACACATATAAATGAAACTTATATTTACATATTTATTTTATTTAAATGAGTCATATTTACCTGTAGTAGATGAGCTCCCATGTGCTGTTCAAATAAGTCAGTGACCAACGAATGACTTGTTCTTCGTACTGCGAGAAAGAATAAAATAAAATAAAACCACAATGTTTTAGAAGCTGTTTAATGTCAATCGTCTGCACAAATGTACAATGAACTACTAAATAATATTATCTATATTAATAATGACAAACATCAATAAATCACTTAATTTAGTCTTAACTTTTTAATTAATACTATTACAGTGACGAACATATTCATTCAAACATATTCATAAGCATAATGAAGAGTTCCAAGCTCTTTAACAAAACAAACTGTAATATTCTCAAACGTAGACACATCTGACAGTCACACTCTTTGGTTACTACAGGAGGAAACGGCTGATAACAGCATTAAGCAGCTGTTAATACACCATTCCAGTTCTTTACTGGTATTTCAGAGAGACTATCAAAGACAGCGAACGTCAGAGCCGCTGAGGTTTATTGGGCTGATAACACAGACAGAGACATGCTAATTCATCCTCAGCACACAACTGCATCCTGGGCCGCCTGTCATCACAAAACAAACAAATTTACAAATCACACAAATGACACTCGTGGTGCATTTTAAACATGCCTCGCTCTGATCTTCCGCTGTGGAAGCCCAGTTGAAATTCCCTGCACTCACAGTAGGATGTGTGTGTGTGTGTGTGTGTGCGGCTGGGATGCTTGTGGCAATCAATAAGTGTTTTGAGAGGATGACAGCGTTTGTCTGAGTTGCTACTAAACGGAAGACGGACTGTGAGCTCACTTCTATAAACCTTTTTCCCGTGGTACACCTGCCACAATACAAGTGTTCGCCTGACAAAATACACTCCTTCAGAAAATCGACTTGAACAGATAGTGAAATGAAAGGTATTTTACACCAACAAATGCTACTTTCACCCTCTTGTCAAACCTTGTGAAAAACAGGTGCGCTTTAACACACTCAAAGAATTAGCCTCTTAGAAAGAGTAATTGCTGCTGAAATGAAATACTATGAATTATACCATGGTCTGTCTGAATACTGGATTCTGATTGGCTGGAAGGTGTGCAATAAGTTTAATGCAAAGTCGGTTTAACTTTCAGTAATAAAATAGCTTCGCTTATGAATCACAACATTATATTTCTTAGCAACGTCACAATATGGGAGTAATTAAAATCACAGCTTTGTTTTCTTTCCTAATCGAGAGAGAGATGCTGACTAGATGGATGTATGAATCTCTCTCTCTCTTTCTCAATAATGAATTTCAAATTAATGTAATCTTACACACTACTTTATCATTAAGCAGTAAAAATAGTTAAAATAACCGTCAATTTTACCCTTCCGGACAATCAACTGCATGTTAATTTCAACTAAATGACAATGTATTATAGTTCAAATTTATATTATATGCAATTAGTTTAACTTTAACAAAGTTCGCTTGTAGGACTTAACTACATCTTCATATATAATTTAATAATTACTTCTTTAATCGTTGAACTTTGTTTACTGTCAAATGTACTGATAAGCATTTATGGTCAACTAAAATAAACTTTAATGTTCTATGTAAACTTAATAATAATTATAGTAATAGTAATATTTGCAATGGCATATTTATAGACCTTATGTCCAGGAGAAACAAAGACGCAAAATCTTTAGATTGTTGTGTTTTGACCTTCATTGCAGTCGAAGAGTAATTAGTTGGTGGGTTTACTTATTGTCGAGTTAACAAAGTATTGTTTGATATGTTTGAAGCAGATGTCAAAATGAAAATTTGTAAACCGGTAAGTTTTTAAAACAAGTGGTCCATTCATAATCAGAAATCCGTAAGATCTTACTTTCATGCTGTGGAAATAGAAACTGCGCAGTGCAGAAAAAGGGCGGGGCTAATGTTGCAATTCAGTTCATTTAAAATAAATTAATTTTGAATTAAATAAATAACACACTATAGATCAAAAAAAAGTTATTGTGCTTTAGGCCCTGTTTACACGAGAAAGCTCGCGCGTGAAAACGTAAAAATATTTTATCGGATGTACCTTTCGTTTACACGGCGACGGCGTTTTTGGAGCTTAAAAACGCGAAAAAAGTGAAACCACCCTCCAGAGTGGAAATCTTAAAAACGCTCCATCGCCGCGTTCCCGTCTAAAGGGTAAAAACGCAAAAGTCTGCTAGACAGTGAAGGTTGTACGCAGGTGCGTAGACTTGGTATTATTGTGTGGCAGTGCTTCACATCGCCACCTTGCCGCCTGGAGTGCACACTACATCGAATTTCACACACTTTTGCGTCACCACATGCACGCGGATTTCCCACCCAAAACGCTCGTCTAAACGCAGAATAAAAAGTGATGACGCAATGCCACTTTTGCGTTTTCTCTTCAGAATTGTATCCGTGTAAACATAGCCTTAGTATGTCAGTCAACACATAACAATTAATATTAAAATATATATTTTTTTAAATTATGTAAAACTTTGCATTTGAGGTAAAGTGCCCTTTTTAAAACGTAAGTGTGAAAAAACATTCATGAAAGTGAACTCTTTTAAAGTGGGCTTTAATTTGAGAGTTTTTTAGTGCACATTCAATATAATTAAGCACACTTCTCTTTCACAAGGGAATCCAAAATCTGTATGACTGTCATTATTACTCATTTGATAATCTTCCTCTCTTTTGTACCTCCTTAATACGCAAAAAACACAATCACAATTTAATAAGGAATAATTAATCACTTTTACTCAACAAAATTGCAACACTGCTTTTACGATACTTATTACGGTGCTTTTTTGTCATGTATAATTTCTGTCACTTTTATTTTCATGTGGGAAAAGAGCAGCCAGGACATTTCACAAAATATTTCCTTTTGACTTCCACTGAAGAAAAATAAAAGTGTAGGCTATAGAATGACATAAATGTGAATAAATGATGACCGTTTTAGTTATTTATTTTTTGGTAACAATTCTTTAAACGTTAGAACACACTGAAAATATCACACATAGATGAGTCCCTGCACCCAAACTACACACCCCAAAACTCAGTGGCACTTTAAGAATGGGGTCCCCTCGCAGGAATATCAATGAGTCTGTCCCATTCAGAGGCCTGAAAAGGGGGTCTGGCGCAGAAAGCGGGATCACCACTCAGTACTTGTGGGTACACAGAGCACTGCTTGTTCATCTTTGGGGGTCACATGCGTGTTGACGACTGAATAGTTAAGCAACCCCCCTCATCCAAACACCGTGGGTCTTCCCACAGGGCTGTGAGTGATGCAGTCGAGCTATAGGGCAGGGCTGACAGGAGCCATACTGCCTGATGGATGGACAATAGTCGGCCCTCATTTCCCAAAGTCAGTCGCAACAGCAGAGGCTAATGCGAAGTCGAACGGGGCCCAATAGGGCAGAGGATGGGAATGATGGTGATGTTCCTCAGACTGGGGGTCCAGAGGATCTATTTGATAAAGCAAATCTGTTGGTATTGGATACTGGATTTTTCATGTGTATATTTTAATGATTACAACTCTGTCATGACAACTCTCTGAGAGATTGGGATGGTAATAGAGATTGGCATGGTAATGGATATGGCAATGTTAATGTATTTGATCTTGGGGGAATAGATCTGCTACACTGCTGCTGCTTAACATGTGTATATATATATATATATATATATATATATATATATATATATATATATACATTGAATCTTGCAATTAATATGACGATATTTAAATTTTTTATTACATTTTTTTTTCAAATATTACATTTTTTTACAATTACAATTTACAACTTTAGGAAATACTTGTTTCAAGGCATTTGTTGATTTAAGTTTTGTTCTGGAAATAGTTTTTATTTGTTTTAAGCATAAACCTCTCAAAATTGTGTTATATTAAATATTAAAGATTCGCAATATTTAATTTAATTTAAACAAATGTTTTATTATCTTACACATTAATTATGACTAGAATACAAGGCAAATCATTTTCTTCTATTTATTCTACTGTGTCAGCTTTCATCTCATTTAGTACATTTTTATTTCCCCTATGGACTTTTTAGAGAAACATTTCAGAGCAAGTTTTAAACCTGAATCCTAACTGAGAATGAGAAACCTCTGCGTAATAACAGGTTCATGTGAAGCTTGACTCGTGGGTCAGCTTTGAGGGTCTTTGGGACGTTGAAGCACAATAATGAATGAAATAACTAAAGTCATTTGACTTTCTTCTCCTCCACACTCAGCTCATTTTGACTCTTTCATTTATTTCCTCTTTTCCTTCTCCCCCTCCTTCAAGCTGACAACCTTTTAACAAAGTTCGAAGGTTACTATGGAAACTGCAAGGTTGGCCTTTCATTCCATGTTCGCTTGCTCAGTCCAGTTGGCTGATGGGAATCGTAGGCCGATCGCCTAGCAACTTGTTTACAGGGCTGTGGATGTAAAGCAGACTGTGCTCCCCCACCTCTAACCTCACGTATGAGACAGGAGGAATGACTCTCAGACAGACGAACGCGTCTCCAGTCGCAATGTCCCTCTCCGCTGCAATTATCATTTCACTCTGCCATCCCTCCCTCTCTCGCGCTCCCTCTTTCTAAGCTGTTACCTCTCTCCTAGCACGGTCGAACATAATTTGAGTGCAATTAACGTCCCTTAAAAGCCCTCAGTGCTTTAAATGCTTGAAAATAGGAGAGACAGAGAGACATAGAGAGCTGGCAGGAGGGAGAGTAAGAGAAACAAGTGAAAAGGAGAAAGAGAGACGGTGTGAAAGTCAAAAACAAGACGAGGCCTGGACAAAAGGAAATGTGTGCGAGTCAGAACTTAATGAAAATTCCCACACTGTATAAACATTGCAGCGCCGATCTAAGCTGACAACATTTCATCTTTACAGTTACAATAATAGCTGCATTTTTACAATGTCTGAAGACAAAACTCGGCACCACATTATTGAATCGTCATAAAAAAAAGCGTTTGCTTTTGTCTTGTTTCACATTAAAAGCATCCAAACGCGAGAAGCAAAATATAATACAACAAAGAATATATCAAAAGATTATTTCTTTTTAATAACAAACCTCGCTAAATGTATTTAAAATTATATTTAAA